CTGATGATGACGCGCCCATGAAGACCAGAACGGTAGCGCAGAGCGGTTCGCGCTACGCTGTTCTACGAACCTGGCCACCCCAGTTCGATTCCCGCTCACAGCCAATACCAGTGACGATTATATCTGAACGGTCATGGCCCTCCCCTACGTCGACTCAACCTCAAATGAGTACCTGGTGCGGTGTGTAGTAAACATCGCCACTATGGAGACAAAGGCGGTCGGGCGTGGTGCTGGCCACCCACCCCCTCGTGTGCCGTGCTGGCCTTCATAGGTGCTGCTCGCTAACAGCACTTTCCCCAACAGCGGCGGGTTTGAAGTGGTTTATAATTGGGAAAACACCGCGCTGTGAATTATCAGCAAAGTCAAGAAGTCACTCAGGCTGGACCGCACGCTTCATTACTTCGTATACTTTATTATTTAGTATTTCTCGCTAAATAAAATACACTTAGGAACATGAAAGTATACAGAACGTATCAAAACAATTCTAAATCATTCAAATCACGATGGACGGCAACATACAATTATCACGTACCTCGTCTTCAAATAACAAAAAAGAAAATAGACATTGATCGTGATTCTTCAAAGCACCGTTTTATAACAGCTGATGAAATACAGCATGTCGCATATCCGACCGTGACTGTCTGCCCTGATCAGTTAACTGCCCCACATCCAGAATGGTGTAAATATGTTAGAGAACAGTTCAAATATCCGCCTATACCTCCTTCTCCTCGTAAGGTATATGACGGAATGTAATTAATTAAGAAAGATGTGTTGTCTATACACAGGCGATATGGGCACAGCAAGTCTATCATGATAAACACTTCTGCAAGACACAATGCATTGCTACGATTTCCATCACTTCCATTCAAGAATGGATTTTCTTCTTTTTCCAAGTTGGTGGCAACAGAAGCCACGTGAACCTATTCACACAGAAGGTACAGTGTATGAAAGGACAATCTTCGATTCTTACGTGCGTGATTCGACGCATGGATTGTGAGAGTAAGAATCGATCTCATTCTATGGATTCATGAATCATGACACCCCCGATGATGTAATATAACCTGCTCGTTATCAATTGTAAAACACCGGATGGTCGGGTCCATTAAAGGTCAAAATTAATAACTTGAGAGAAAAAAAACATTTTCATATTAAATGTTAATTGAGCTTTAAGTAATGCTCCATGATTAATTACACTTTTTATTCATTCATGAGAATTAGTGTGGTTATATAACTGGCGATATAATCGCGTTTTTTAATTCTCACAAGTTTAATTGTGCGGTCATATGTGTTGGAAAGCCAATGGGCTCGATTCACATTGTGACCACGTTTCCACCGTCACAAAATGGGGCAAATCGTTTTGTCAGGATTAGAGTCTGGCCAGAAAAATACACAACTTAAACCAGATATTAACCCACAATCGTGAGTTGGTCAGTCTTCAGCAACTGTCTGTCATGTGAGAACGATCGAAACATATCACGGTGGTGATTTCAATTTTGTTCAAATGGCAGAATTTTCCAAAAAAAAATATATAACAAGAAATGGGGCATGCACCAGCTGGGCTCATGTATTAAATGATATTTCATATGTGAATTCTCAAATGGCCGAAACAAACTACGTTTACTGATTTGCACTAGTTTTGGCAATGGAACAAAAAAGTAAAACCAAAATTGGGCCATATGTGAATTGAGCTCTTAAAATATAATTTGTGATACTGTTTCTAAAAACCTTGTCTTTTATAAAGGGCATAATCAGATGGATCGTGACTCATGGTTCAACCAATGAATAATTTAATAAATAATCACCTTTATTTAGAACTGGGTAAAGTTAAAACCCATGATTGATGTGTAATTGCTTCATCTTAATTGTTCTAGTCACAAAAATACTTTAAAAATATTGAGCATACAATTAAAACAACAGGAACGAATGGTAGCATTTTAAAAACCATAATGCCAAATACTTTTTAAAGTGTTGGAAAATATAAATTCTTAACAAGCATGTGCTGACATGCATACAGGTGTGGTAGAAACATCTTAACGTTTTTAACTCAGTTAAATTGATTGCCAGTAAAACATTCCACTATCAAACCTTAACCAGCAGAGTATACCAACCCACATTCTAGATGACGATACACACCGTGAGATTTCAAGGAATCATGAAAATAAAGGAATGTATAAAATCAACAACAGTAAGATCAACATGCTGAATGAAACTACCAAATAGTTAATGTGCTCAGAGTGAAATGCAATCTGAAACTGCCCCAAATATGTTTTATAAAGTTATAGGACTGTCATGTGTGTGTGTGTACTAGGGATGTTCCAGATGTTTTTAATTAAGCGGAAACAATTCGAACATCTGGCCTAGACACAACATTTCGGATTATCTGAATTTTTGTTGGTTTTGGATCGATAAATTCAAGAAACATGGCACCACGGGAAATGATGGCACAGGAAATGACCTTACTTTCCTGCTTCTGCCAAAAGTGGCGTTGGGATGATGTCACTTCTGTTAGCACGAAGACCTGTTACATTATTACATGTAAATCATCTGAAAATACCTGTATTCAAAATTATCTTAAATCGGCCTTAAAATTTAAAAATGTGGAATCCAAATCTTTTTTTTTCAAATCCAAAACCCATCCCAAGTGTGCGGTGCCTGTGATTAGAGGTACGGTTATGCTGTTTACGCATTGACGTGCATCAGGACTATGGAGATACAGGTGGGCAAGCAACGGTGGTGCTGACTACACCGCCACCTTGTGTGCTGCAGCAGCTGCAGCCTTATGTATGGCTATGTGGGAAATTGTTTGTACGTGTGTGTGTGTATGTGCAGTCTATTTGTGTTCGTAGCACCACATCAAATAAAATCACTTCCAACAACACATGTTCATAAATACAGGACAACAAACACTGTAAAAACATACAGTGCACAGTTACACTCACCAATTGCTTCATGTGAATCTTATCACAAAAAAGTACCCTGTGTAACTCTTTAAAATGTATACAAATAAAGAAATCCAACCGGAAAGAAATATCAACACATCAAAAAATAAAGAAAGGTAATTCAAATACCATTTTAAGAGATTGGATCTCACAAATATCTCACCCCACTAATGTTCGATATATACACACACACCGCAAGAGAGGCGGTACAGTATCATGTTATATAAGGCTATCTGACAAAGGCCAAGACAATTGCACAACCAGAATAACACGCACTTTTGCCGCAGGCAATTGGTCAATAGCGCTTATTTACATATAACAAGAATACAAAAATACTTTAAATGTAGTGAAAAATATTATTTAACTGGTACTCATTGCACTGTGGCCTTTCAGCAGTGTGTCCCGAAGGTGACTGAGGGTAGGGTTCACTTCATCACAAGAGAGTGGGAGAGTAGAGATGTAATTCTAAAAATCACCTATATTGTGATACAATCAAACAAGATGATGGTGCAGCAATACAATTATTTTCTCACATCACTGCCGGCCTGGCCACACTTTGTGCCACCACACGTGATCTGCTGCTCATGTAGACTGTGGCGTTTCCATTTCAACTATCATGCCAGCCACGCCAGGAGACCAATAGAATTGGTGACATCTACTAGATTGCAGTTCCAGTACGTGTATTACACCTCAGGAGCATCCCTAAAATGTCACACTAAAAATTTGAGCAGCGATCATCATCTCCCTATTGGTCCGAATTCAGTTGTAGTTGTACCGATATATTAAGAGATTAAAATATGTTCTCCCTAAAAACCAAAGAGATTGAGGACGAGCAACATGCCACCAAAAATCAGCAAAACAAAATCTGTTTTCCAAAATGCAAGCTTCATGGCAAACTTACAATATATATTGGAAACTCATCCCAATACTATCGATGTACGAGTCATCTGTTTATTTATTTTATACTTGAATACCCAAAGTAGTAAGGATATGTACACAACTGCACCCATGGGCGCCGGAGGGGCCCAGGTTCTGGGCTATGAAGAGAGGGGTGGGAAACTTGACAGAGGGCCCAACTTCCTTGCTTGCACCAGGGCTGATGGGAATCACTCACGACTTACTCTCTCACCAAAGGTGCTACTTTCTCAACAGATGCCACCTCCCGCACTGACCTTACACTGAACACTGCAGGTGGATTTGAGTCTACCAATGTTACCCAATGTTTAAGTCACATATCCGTGCGGTCTGCTTTATCTGGGTTTCGAAGGTGAGCGGTGGTGCAGTTGTTGCGCGCATAGCACTACGAACCTGGCAACCAGAGCTCTTGTTTCCAGCCACGACTCACATCGCTGGCGAGTGACCCACCTCGCGAACACGCACTGACCGGCATGGTGAAGTATGGTGAAATAATTCCCACAACCGTCACAGCAAGGGAAGGCCTTCGTCAAGGAGTGGAGACAAAGGGTAACAATTTATGATTATTTCATGTGTTTTGAAAGGAAGTCTTCTCATGTAGCATATTTTGTCAGAAAAATGTACGATTGTTAATCAACAAATGACAATTAAAACAACCCCATAGCTAAAAAACTGATTTAAAAAATATATACATAATAAACAATGACTACAAACACCTTTAAATCGAAGATTGTGGTGACTCACTCTACTGAAAATATGAAATTACTATGCTGGCCAGAAGATGTGATCTATTTATCAGAAGCACAAAAAAATTTGATGTAACAATAAAGAAAACAATTAACTCGCAGCCTTTGTATTGCCAGGTACGGTCTCTTTTCCAATCAATTTCACGCTTACGGAGATAATTCCAGCCAATTAGAGATGTATTATCGTGCCTGGATGCCCTCCTCCAGCCGGTGGACCCCAGCAAGCAAGTAGGCCTCAGTGAGTCTCCAAGAATGTGAACACTGATGCATTGGCCAATAACACCTTGATATATAGAGGACTGCAGAAGTTTGCAGGGGTGGAGGGGATTTGGTGCCAGGTGCACTGCCTGTCGGCAGCCATCCCCGCTTGTCTGCGGTTCTTCCTCGCGCCTCTCAAGTCGTTCCCTTCGAGAGCGAGCGATTACCGTGCGGCAGCGGAGCATTACGAGGTTGAGATTGAGGGAGATTTCCTGACGGTTGCTTCGTCTCATGCGGTGATGCCAGTAGCAACAACGACCAGAATCAAATTGGAAAAGAGACAACAGAAAATGCCCCCCCCCCATTGGATTTGAGGAATGTGCCATCACATCCAAATCAACATACTGCTAGAAACAAACAGCCCAAAACGGTTGCATTGGATGGGGTGGCACTTTGGTTAACTTCGAGAAATATGATCTTTTTTGCTGACACACGCCACACACACGCGCGCGCGCGCAGAAAAAAAGAACACGAAATTCGGTTATTTAAAAAAAACAGTAAATAAAGAAGAGCGGCCGGAAGAAAAATAATCCCGACCGGCAGGATTTGAGGTACTTTAAGGATCGCACTTAAACTTTACCGGACGACTGCACCGCAAATCGCGAGCGCAATGACAATAATAAAAAATATATATAAACTGGAAACCATTTCTAGTTTTCCGTGATTTGAAACGCGATGGTTAAACAGTACAGCAGTATTCAAATATCAAATATCCCGTGACGCTGGAGGGGTAATTGTACACCCCCCCCCCGCCCAAAAAAATATAACTAAGAAGAAATGAAACAGTAGATCAGCGTAGGTAATTTTTTTGTACGCAGAAAATAAACCTTAGTGCATGGAGTTTGACGATAAGCACTCGTGTGAAAAATAACGTTTTTTTTCCAAAGCGTAACTAAAGCTATTTATTTATCAAAATTTAGTTAATTTAAACTGGCCTCGATAATGCGTTTTAACATTTGAAAAGGTTTCGATAAAAATGATGGCACTAAACTATTTAATTTATTTAATTTGTGTTTTACGGTAAACAAGGGAAACGTTTTGTTTAGAATAAAAGTAATTTGATGGTTGTCCTGGGGGGAAAAAAAAAACTAAAACTGGATAACCCACATATTCGTTTTAAAGGACAACCCTTGCTTGCTTGCTTCATTGGAGTACTTTAACAATCATCTTGATACAGTTATTATCGTATCATCGCCCCACAGATGGCCGCACAACGAACTTATCAATTAATTGTTTTCATCCACTTAATCCACCTTTACTTTGAACAAGAGTCCGACTTTCCTGACAAGAAAAATTGCGTGGGTTATCACGTTTTTTTGTTTCTCTTACACCCACCCAACCCCCTTTCATTTGCGCGGTTGCCTCGTGTCGGCGAAGCCACGTGCGAGCATCCTGCTGCATCTTGCGCGTCCGTGCCGACAAGGAGGTCCCAACGAGGGGTTTGGAGAGGTTCAAAGCAAGTGTTTTTTCCCCCCATGGCCTCCTGCGAGGAGTGGCCACTAGACCTAGTGGTAACGACAAAGACAATGGCATCACTGGGCAACTGGGGACTACAGGAGCCTTTGAAATTGAAATCGGGTTTCTCCCCCCCTCCACCTTCACTCGCATGGGCCAGTGAGGGTGAAATTAATCTAAGCAATACATGTACAGGGTATACATATCGGTATTACCATCCATCGTTAAGGAATTATAATAAGACAGCAGTTTGAGCGAAGTTGAAAAAACAACTAAGATAAAGCCAAAGATACTCCATATAATCTTGATTTGAAGCTTTCGTGACTGCAGGAATCCATACTCTTTGGTTCTTTCGGTAAAGTCACGTAGGTAGAAAAATCATAGATCACGACGTTTTTTTCTTGCTGTGGCTGTCCCACCTGATGACGATTGCTTGTGTTGCGATCGAAACGTTGTGATCTATAATTGATCTACCTACGTGACTTTACCGAAAGAAGCAAAGAGTATATACTCCATATAGTCTTTGAACAGATTGTCGGGGCAAGTGCTCTTCACAAGAACCTTTGAGGCCGGCACGGCGGACGAGTTGATGTTTAAACACCGAACTAGGTACTCATTTAACGCTGAGTTGTTGGACATGAGCGGGAATCAATCTCGATAAAACTACACACACACGTATTTGGTGGTGTGAATCGTCGATGTGCCCGCCATGGCTTTGGTGACAAACACCACATTGAGTTTTGAGTCCTGGCTGGGTATTTGCCAGCATCTTGGCTCTGATTGTTCCGAACACGTATCTTACGCGCTGCTGAAGATCATTCAAGATTTCAGGTTTTAAAAATGTGAGGTATGGGAGGAGCGGGCCTTCCAACATTTCAACCACGCATTTCGAACTGCCGTCTATGTATAATCACGTAATGATGGCAACATTAATGGACACGCATTATTGTCATCTTATTTGATCTATTTTGTCGTTTACTCTGCCTGAAACTCCCCCTCGTCCAAATTTGTGATACCAATGCACAGTGTGAGTGTACGCCAGGCTGACAATGCTTTACCATGGCCACCAATAACAGGCCATCTCGTACGAACATAAACATGCAATTGTGAATTAACGAAGAGAATGAGATGAAATAAGAGTGCAGCAGAATTTGCAACTATGCCACATCTTTCTGTCCTATTTTTAATTTTTATATGTAGCTATTGTTTGCAGACGCGACGTTGCCACAAATGAAAGCTCAACAAAAATGTCGAGGGAAAAGCCAGAGGACCCGGAGAGAAATCCACACGACTGCAGGGAGAGAGAGACATGCAAACTCCAAATATGCAGGCATCAGGGTCGGGATCAAACCCACAACCTCTTGTACACCAGGCGAGGTAGTTAACATCTCGCCACCGTGGCGCCCTGACAAAGTGTTGATGCCCAAAACGTTACGTTATCTTGTACAAACGTACTCTCCAGATTAGAAGGCGCACCTTTACCCCCTGTATTATAAAGCTAAAGTAGTTGGTTGCGTCTTATAATCCAGTAGGTGCGTGTATGCCCAGATTTGTATAACTTTATTGACACCGGGCACAATTTTGGGGTGCGTCTTACTTTTTGGAACATCTTATAAATCAGGAGAATGTGGTATTTTATGATCCATTTTTTGTTTTGCGTGAGGTCAAGCGGTAGTTTTACGCCAAAATTCTCGTAATTAACCCTCCATCACTTGCCACAATTGTCAGGCTTAAACAGATATTATTTATACGTTGCCAATATATTGATCAAATTCTGACCAATAAAGCTCCTTTTCACCGGTGGCATAAGACTGTTCTCAACTGGATTCAACGTCAGCGTACGATGGGGAGAAGTACGTCTCGCAATAATATTATCTTCATGGCCGTGTTATCAACGACGATGGCTGTGAAGCATTCTCAAATCCGCGCCTCTCCGTCACTGCGAACGCTAAATCCCTGCAGTCTTACGCGAAAGCAACAAACGGTCGCCAACTTTTTTGCCCGAACGTAAAGTGTCCTCACATGGCGATCATTCAGGGCGCGGAGCAGCCACAGAGTGGGATCGTAAACATCCTCCACCGCTAGGCCGCAACGTCAGCGTTGCCACCTGCCCTGGTTTATCCAGGATCGTGGTCTTATTGAGGTAGCTCTCCTGCCAAATCACATAGTCCTTCCATGACGTTATTTGCGTAATAATATAACAACACACCACCGAAGATAATACAATTACAAGTAGGTCTCCCCTCTTACAGTATTGAGAGATATTATTATTCCCATGATGTGTCCTGTTTTTTTTTTGGTACCTAAGAGGTGGAAAGCATTGGAATGGTTTCCACGAGTCTGGCAACCAAGGGGAAGACCTCAGAGCAGATGATGGGAGGGTTGGGATGCTGTTAGGGCAGGTCGTCTCGGATGTCGCGCGCCTACTGTGCAGCAGCCGCGGAATCTGCTCGAGAGAGTAGAAAGGGTTGGCGAGGTTTCGTGGCATAAAAGGCCTTGGCCATGACAACACCTCGATCAGTCATGATCAGAGGGGGCAACCCTTACGGGATTTCGCATCAACCACCCCCTTCCTGTGCCCAACATCTCCACGCGGAGCTCGCCTCCTCGTCTCCCGTCAGGGCCTATCCGCGTCTCGCCGGTCGCGGTACGCAAGCAGGGCCGCTTGCTGGCACGTCGCCGGGTCACAGCGGCCGGCCCGGCCTGGAGGCCCCTGCGGCCCTGGCATCCCCGCTATGCCGAACCTGCCTGGAGGCCCTGCGGGGCCTGGGCTGCCATCCTTGGCCTGCCCGGGGCTGCCCGGTGTGCCTGCAGAGAAAGCACGTGATTTTGCAAAATTACTTTTTTTTTTTGGGCACACACAATCTGTTGCATGTATCGCATGTATGGTGAGCTTAAGAATCGATTTTTCTGAATCAATACATTATTATGCCCCTAAAAGGTACACTCTGGTGGTCTCTGTTTGTATCATTATTAACATCTATTTGTCAATCAATTGCTGAATGAATACCCCGCACGTTCTGTAAGTCGTGAGAATTTTTTAAATCATACTTGAACACGCTGGTAATGGGAACTGGTCTTGAGCCACCTCTCTTCACCAACCCTCACTGACCAGCGTGAAGTATGGTCAAACAACCCCCCATGACTAACACGGCTTACGGAAGGAGGCCTTCATCCAGCAGCGGATTGACAAAGGGAGGTACATTATTCATCATCATCATTATTATTATATACATTTTACACAAATTCACAATTGACTCGCTGAGTAAAATCGTGTCTATCGCACCTGGTTGTCCTGGAACTCCGCGTTCCCCTTTGATCGCGATTCCAGGGTCCCCTCGCTGACCCTTGGGGCCCCTATCGCCTGCGATCGCCAGCACACAGCACGTGCCCGGGGGGGGGGGGGGGGGGGTACGAGAGTGCCGTTTGCAGGTCTCACTTTGGGCAGGGGGTAAAAGTCAAACACTGCGTGCCAACGATGGCATTTCTACCTGGGTTATTTCAATGTTAAGTAATGAACTAATCGTGATATTGTAGAACCTCGATATTGTTATTAAGTCATGATAGAAGTGTTATAACAACATTTTTTCCAGCAATTAAATGGCACTGACATATAGTTGTGAAATTGATCGGAAAATTGTCATTTATTGCTTAATCATTGCCTCTGAAATATTAGTACTATCACAACAATGCTATTTACTTATGAAGGCCTCATGAAATCGTGGGGGGAGGGGTGGGTGGGGTCCTGTATTGGGTTGTTTGGTGCATGTGCTGGCAGCTTCTTCAGATTCTAAAGAAACTCGCAGTGCACTTCTTCAATTCCTCCCAGCACGGGGAGCGAAACGTCCGACATCGTGCCGAACAACACCAGGTGCAGCCCGAAAGCAAACGTCGAAGAGCAAGGCTCGTTGGTAACATCAGCAATGGGAATCATCGGTTCTAGATTTAAAGCTTTCGTGACTGCAAGGATTCATATTCTTAGGTTTTTTTCGGTAAAGTCACGTAGGTAAAAAATGTAAATTAATAAAAGTAAAATTAAACAAAATAAAAAAATCACGACGTTACGGAAGCAACACAAGCCTCCGTCTTCAGGTGGAACCGTCACAGCCACGACAGCTGTATCAAGTAAATGAGAGATCTCTCAAATGAGAGATCTCTCATTTACTTGAATGAGAGATCTCTCATTTACTTGATACAGCTGTCGTGGCTGTGACGGTTCAATCTGAAGACGGAGGCTTGTGTTGCTTCCGAAACGTCCTGATTTTTTTATTTTGTTTTATTTTAATTTTATTAATTTACATTTGTTACCTACGTGACTTTACCGAAAAAAAACCTAAGGGAATCATCGGCATTGCGGAGGGACATAGTGCGGACGACACCTACCTTGAGGACCCTGTATGCCGGGAGAGCCCTGGGACCCCATTAATCCCTGTGGACCTGGTTCCCCGAGCATGCCAGGTCGACCGGGCGTGCCATCCCTTCCTGGTGGGCCAGGAGGCCCTGGTCTCCCCGGGGATGTGACGATGGCTGCAGGCGACTGGATGTGTGCCATCACCCTCGTGAGTCGATCTGCAGCAGCAGTGGCAGCATCACGAGCGCACGATAGAACAGGGACACATGATTAAACCAGGCGATCAGGTGTAGGGATGCATAACGTCCAACATCAGGTTCAGGATTGGAACGCAGTCAATGTAATCGTGAACTATCATCATCGTCAGCTGTAATCTAACGACTGCAAGATGAAGAAGGACTCTCTAAGCCGTCGCCATTGCTCATGGTCACGTGATAATGCACCTCGTTTGTACACAAGGAGCTGATCCCATCACGTCAGTTCCTCTCGGATGGGTTGCCTCCTTTGACTGCCACTCCATCGTCATTCTCGACCACCGGCCGTCATCTCATCTAGCACCGTGTCCTGCCCAAGGCCACTTACTTTTTCTAACATTACAACTCGCTTTTGCAGTATGATGCGTGCGTGTGTTAACCTTTTGGTTTCTCGGGGTAATTACAAGCATGCACCTCTTCAGGTGCCTTTGCAAAATTTAAATCGGTGCATATTTCTTACAAGGACACTGCCAAAGAAGATGCAACAAAATCTTCAAAGTGCTGATCACATGAACAGCCCTTTATTTCTCTGGTCAAGCATCACAGTTGCAATACTTTTGATGGAGGCTCCTGCCCATTAATTGATTGTTAAAGGTTTTTTTTATTCACAAGTTGTGGAGCATAGGCCAGATTTTCACGAAGTAGCCAGAAACAGAGATCGGCGCACACAGTAGGCATGCAATGATTCCCTCCCTCCCAGTGATTCGATTAACTACGATGATACGGCGTAGAGATTCGATTCAAGAATAATCAGAAAAAAACATTTCTAGGCCACTTTTTCTTCTTGGTTCTTTCAGTAAAGTCACGTAGAAGGGAAATAATAGAATAAAAAATATATATATATAATTGTATTATTTCCCTTCTACGTGACATTACCAAAAGAACCAAGAAGATGAATCCCTGCAGTCACGAAAACTTTAAATCGAAATTCGACGCCACTTCTCTACGTACCTTCTAATATCCTAGTGACCTCTTCTCTTATCAGACGCTTCATCTCGTCAAGGGGAAAAGCGTCGCCCTGGTGAAATATTCAAAATGTAAAACAAGAGAGACAGTGAGTACATTCACATAACGATAGCCTCGGCCATGCAATGATCATATTGGAGGAATAGTACAATGCTGGTTATCTGACCATCACACATCCGCCCAGACCAATTAACCACACACGCCCGAATGCAGTGCTGCATTTTGGCGTGGTGTAACTGTTATTTTATACAGGTGTTCACATATCTCATCTTTTCACATATCTGCCTGTACCTCAGTCTCAGGTGAGATGTTGACTCCCTCGCCTGGTATACAGGAGTTCGTGGGTTCGATCCCGAAGCTGACGCCTGCTGCTGTATATTTGGATTTTGCGTGTTCTAACCGTGGTCTCGTAGATTTTCCTCTGGGTCCTTCGGTTTTTCCTTTCAAATTTAAAATCAATGTGCGTTTAGATTATTTGGCTATACATTTTCACATGATAAGCCACTTTGTTGAGCTATCATTTGTGATAGCTAGGTTGCTTCTGAAACAGAGCTATATTTTACCAAGTAAGGCCCACAAGAGTTATACAGCTCAGTGAGCCTTACCTGGTAAAATAAAAAATAGTTTAGTTGATAGTTTTAGAGTCGCATGTGTGACGTCGTACTGAAAAAGGAAAGGTTGGTGTTAACACACCAAACCAGCTTCTCGTTTTTAAGGCTGAGCTTATCTAGGAGAGTCCCAAGTCATGTTTAAATGCCAGTTTCCACTGGCATTGTGGGTGGTTGGAAAATATACTTGGGTTTATGGGATTGTAGGATGGTGCAGTGACCACTATGCCACCGCTCTCCTCCAACATGCTGAGACGACGTCGATATCCATTTAAGCCTGAGAGACCAAATTAGTGTGCTGTGAGCACATATATAGGCCAGTACCATGCACGGCTGCATTTGTCTCCCAAGTGATGATATTCACACCACACACACACTGCACCGGGTACTCATTGAAACTCGAGTAGACCAAGATTAGGCCCAGGACCGGTTCAGATGTCACTTGCCACAGATTTTAGCCATGGCCACGAATTTAACTTAAATTACTACTAACTACCCTGCCACCACTCCCCACAGCCACACCCACAAGAGGCTAAATCCTCCACATAGCCTACAGAGGCCGTCGAAGCAAATGCTGTGAGCAAACACCTATTAAGGTCGGCACAGTACAGGAAGGTGGTGGTGTGGTTGGAACCCCACCTGGCTGCCACACACATAAACCACGTAAACCGCACGCCAACAAACAAGGAAAACGGCAGGAGGAGGAAGCAATACGATGAAAGTATACATAATCTATAATAGAAGTTTGTGGGTTCGATCGCGTGAATATGAATGTGTTGTTAAACCTGCCACCACCCGATACAGCCAATTAGTAAGGTTTGTCCCGAAAACAAAACATCTAAATTCGTTACTAGTTCAGCACACCGGTGCGTTGGAGAGTAAACCCACAACATTTACGATTCGAGTACAGTGACGTTTCGCCAGTAAATTACAACCAGCATCATCAGGTGGACAGCCAGAGTTGTGGAGAAATCCTCCTGCTTCGGTGTTAAATAGAGGGATAGATGTGATGTCTTCACTTGTCAGGCAATCAGGTGCTAAGGCCAGAGAGGGGGATGATGCATGCAAATAAAAAAATGAATATCGATGACCGGTTGGGTTATTATGAAATAATAAATAATAATTTCGATTTAAAGCTTTCGTGACTTGCAGGGATTCATCTTCTTGGTTCTTTCGGTAAAGTCACGTAGAATGGAAATAATAAAATAATAAAAATAAAACATAATAAAATAATTCTCACGACGTTTCGGCCACAACGCAAGCAGCCGTCCTCAGGTGGAGAACAGGTCTGTCGAGAAGACAGAGTCTGAATATAAATGTGTTCTCGACAGACCTGTTCTCCACCTGAGGATGGCTGCTTGCGTTGTGGCCGAAACGTCGTGAGAATTTTTTCATTATGTTCTATTTTTATTATTTTATTATTTCCATTCTACGTGACTTTACCGAAAGAACCAAGAAAATAAATAAAAAATTCACGTATATTCAAAATGAGTAAGAAAACAAAGAGGCTTCACCTTGGGTCCATGCGGCCCGATGGGCCCCATCAGCCCCGGCAGGCCGGGTGAGCCCCTCTCGCCGGGGATGCCGTACGGCCCCATCGGTCCGGTGATGCCCTTCACCCCTGGGGGCCCCGGCTCGCCAGATCGGCCCTTGTCTCCCTGTAGGCCCTGGTCGCCCTGAATCCCGGGCTCCCCCTGGAAGAGAAGGCCCCCAATATGGGACACAGAGAGCAATCGATTACACGAATGAGTGGCTTTGACACTTGATTTAATCGACAATACATTTGTACAATTTAATAAAAATGAAGCAATGTATCCATGTTCTTGTCTTTTGGTGGAAGGAGGGTGGAGTGGGGAGGGGAGTGTTTTAGTTTTAATAAAGCAACAGGGCTACAATTGCATTTTTTATGTTGTGAGTCATCCCACGGCATCCGCGGTGGTAGCCGAGTGGAGAAGTCCACTCGTTCCACCACGATATGCTCGTTGTATTGGGTAGTCACCAGTGATACGCGCCTGATGGTTTGCACCTCAACACAATGTCACAGTTTGGTGAGTACTTGAACATCCGTTTATGGCGAAAGTATCCACTCCTTCTTGGTGTTGTTCTACTCCGCCTGATGTTCCGACACGTTGCCGTGATATCATGACGATTACCGCGATCAATTTCGCATCACTTTTGTAATAGTGTTACTAATCGGTATTGTTTTGTTTTCATGCTTTGCTGATTTTCTTCAACAGCATTCCATTAATCGTAAGCTTGCCGTAAGTCTTACAATCATTCTAACTTGTTCGATATACATTGCTTATAACGCACGTTGCCAACGACACCTTATATAGATGGACAAAGGATAGCGTCAGATCACTGCCAAGCAACCGTTTTCTCTACAGAATGCTTCTTTGCGCACTTTCCACACGGACCTAATACAAAATGCATCATTGCTTTAGTCGTCCAAGTGTTCTGAAATGCTGCCATCGTTGAATGTTTTATCTTGAAGACGTTATTGCTGGTGCCGAGTGGATGTATAAACACTCACGCGTTCTCCCTTCTGCCCACGGTCTCCCTTCCCCCCAGGCTGGCCCTGTAACAAGAAAATGCGTACGTAAGTGGAAATCCGTTCTGTATCTACCACGTAAAAGTATATCTTAGTCATGGGCCAATTGGATTTCAGATCAGTATTATCCAGCTGCAGCATGTATTTCAGTAAGCAAATCTATGAACAGCTTTTGGCTTTCTGAGTCTCATCAGGCTTGTTAAAATAAATACTGTTGGGTTACCAGATGTTATTGGCAAGAGCTCTCCATCTAAACAATGGGGGCCTTTTCTGTATAAAAAAATAGAGATTCTCTTATAATAAAAAAAGACAATAATTTATTTATCCATGAAAGACTCGCTAAACCTCAAGAATCTTTTTCAGAATGATCCATTACTGGGATATTTGTCCAACTTTACTCATGAGTATATTTTACATCGAACAAAACCGGAGAACATGAAAAAAAAGGATAACACTCAAAGTTCCACACAAATGGGTGTTCGGACACACTTGCTGTACTGCCATCTCCTAGCCACCTCACAGCACCCTTTCCTCCAAAGTGCTGGATTACGGGGCATTCACTACCGCATGTATGTATCTATGTTGAACTTCTTTCGCACCGTACGTAGCCCATCGTACTAATCGGAGGTGTGGGGGAAGAACAACAAACTAAATACAAAAAGCAATTCTAAACAAATACATTTTAAATCTAGACTTAAAAATGCATAGCTCCAGTGGCTTCCTAAAATCGGAAGAGCATTCCAGACGGCCGCAGAAGGGCACATGAAAGCGGGCAATGCGGTGACCATCTTTCTTCGATGGATAGCCAAGCGTGGAAGCCGAGCCGTGTTTCTCTATACGCCAGATGTATGTATGTTGAACTTCTGAGTGATGCTATGAAACCTGTAAACCTGTAACCATATTACAGGTTTACAGGTTTCACACCATCGCGTCGCTTACGGTTTCATTACAAACGACAACACTCTGCTTATTCCCACCTCGCTTTCAATCTCCCGCGTTCACACTCACCTCTCTACCCGGCTCCCCAGCTCTCCCCACAGGTCCCTTAAAAGAGAGAGCGAGACACGCAGATTAAACACGTTTTTCTTTGAAAGAATAGTCGCTGCCCGCCCTCGCCTCCCCCCACACATCGCCCACTTCCCCGATCCCCCGACTTCTCCCCACAGTTTATTTCTTTAGCGGCGAACTAATAGAAATGCAGACTGCGTACACAGCCTTTGATTGCGATACCATAATTATGGGGCAATTTTATCAGGCACTAAAATGGGCATCCCACCATAGGCCCCGGGGGTCCTCTTGATCCTGAGAATCCAACGTCTCCCACGGAGCCCTGGTCTCCCTTCGCGCCCTGGTTAGAGAAGAGAGGCAGAGAGAGAGGTCACCACAATCAACAGCGTCTACCCCGACGTCATGTAACGAAAAGCTTTGTAATTTACCCTCAATGTTAACCCAATTGTGCTATCGGCGTCACGCCACGACATGAAGAATCCACTCAGATCTCTCGCAGAGAAGTGGCATCGTTTGTGTAAAAGGACAAAGGCCCCGTGGAAGCAGATATGACAGAGCTACCTCTGAGATTCCTTCAAGGGACCGCAGGTCCACACAGTAGAAGGCAGAACTTTGCCACGCGATCTGCATATGATCGTAATGTTTGTCACACGGTAGTCAAAGCGGTATAGCCTCACAGCTGGCATATGACTGAATCAAGTGCAAAACCAAATTTAATCTGAGTTTTCTTTCGTGCAATAATTGGTAACCGGGCTAAGACCATCACCTCACTACACTTAATGTTCATTCATAAGCAGATGCCTGAGTGCTATGACCCCTAGATCATGCAGCCCACTCATTTTACATATTTCATTAAGACATCAATTAATATGACCACTGATCCATCCCAACCCCTGCCAATATCTCATTATAACTGACCTGCAAATAGTTGCTCACAGGGTCTGCATGACTGTTAGCAATGCACGGATACGTTAATTTGTTTTTATTCGAGCCGATATTTAGTTCTAGATTTGAAGCTTTCGTGACTGCAAGGATTCATACTCTTAGTTCTTTCGGTAAAGTCATGTAGGTAAAAATATGAAATTAAAATTAATAAAAAATAACATAATAAATAAAATAATAATAAAAATCACTATTATTTTATTTTTTATTAATTTTAATTTCATTTTTTACCTACGTGACTTTACCGAAAGAACTAAGAGTACGATATTTAGTTGACCAATATTTTTTCTGTCATGAATCCAGGGCCCCTTGAGTTGCTTTGAGCCCAAATCATTCGCTCGGTTTGCTTGGGCCTAGCACCGCCACTGGTGAGCAGAACTCACAGCTTCTCCTGGAAGTCCTCGGAGGCCGTGATGCCCTGGAGGTCCCAGGCGACCCTAGCGCAGGCAAGCGGGAGGAGACAAAGAAGACACAGGGAAGGTTAACGGATCAACTGGCACACAGTGAAAGCTCCATCACATACAGCCAGCGGGAATGGTCGTCGGTGTCATATTAATGCAGGGCCTTCAGGGGCCGTAGTTCAGGGCCTTTAATTTTGAGGGTCCCCCCCAAAAATCTTAATCCCACGTTATACCAGCAGAAACGCAATATTACATTTCTCTGATAAATCCTAAAGGTAATCTAGTAACAAAAGCCATATAAACATCGTGTGCATTACTACCAACCATTTGCCAAACATTAAACTAGTTTTGTTCGTTTAAAATTAGGATTCACACTTAAATATTGGAACTGAAATAACCCCGTTGAATAGTAGTGGAGGGTTGGCATCATTGGGCATGGGTAGTGGTAAAACGTTGAAGGGAAAGATCTGAATAGATGTTGAGGAGGCCCTGATACCACAACAATGTAACTGCGTGAGAAAATAATTTGATGTGATTTGCTTCAACCTTAAAATCGTCAAGTTTGACGCCTGCAATGAAACGCACGTATCATCGAGCGGTGCGCCCAGCAACACATTTAGCTGGAAGCAAATTAGTACTGATAACTTCGTACGATAGTTTCTGATGTGTTAATAATTTTAATCTGGATGATAAAAAAGCGACAGAAAGTTCTATGGCGTGCAAGAGCCGCCTAAATATTTCACGAGGGCAGGGGGCGAATTCCTATTTTGCGCCCCGCCCCCCCCCCCAGTGTGCCGTGAGAGGTAAGTGTCAACTTCTAGTCGTTGGGTGCATCACTACGCCCCCAATCACATGAGTGGCACAACATCACGGCCACCACATCCGGCGCCACTACCAACTATGTGCGTATACACGCTGCATGGGGCAGGACGCCGGTGGTATTTTACAGGGTGGCTGCTGTTGTGTTGTACTGTACTGCACTCACCGGTTCTCCGATGGGCCCCGGGGGTCCCTGTGGCCCAGGGAGACCTGGGCTCCCCTGGGAAATAAAGTCCAAGAATTAACAAGAAATTATGTGCGGTGTTAAAAATAATAATAAAAATATAAATTTCGATTTAAAGCTTTCGCGACTGCAGGGATTCATCTTATTGGTTCTTTTATTTTTATTATTTTATTATTTCCATTCTACGTGACTTTACCGAAAGAACCAAGAAAATAAAAATATATATTGGTTTATAGCCTAGGCAACGCATTACCCTGGCTAAGTCAGTTCAGTTTCCTTTGTCTGACCAGGTAGGGGCCCAATGAGGCTGAAATTTTAATTTGCACAGGTATAGGTGCTCGTGGGGGTGCGGACGTTGTGGAAACTCACGTCAATCCCTTGAATGCCATCCCTCCCAGGGAGCCCAGACGGGCCCTCTTCACCCTGGGGCACACGGGCAATGTGTTGGTTCTGTAATTACTGCTTACACACGCGCAGCATCATCATCACGGGCCACAATCGATCCACTGTCTTGCGATGTAAATTTGCATCCATCTCCCGCGCACAAACTTGAGTTCGTTGCTCTAACTCCACGGGACACGTGCTTCCCTCCTTTGGCTGCCGCTCCGTGCTCAGTCTCGACCACCGGCTATCATCCCTTCTAAGGGACTTGCCCTGCCCAAGCCCAGTTACTTTTCCCGCCGGTCGATACATTGCGACAAAATTTACACTGAACGTGGTGGATCCCGTCAGATCTCTGGAGCAAAGCAAAATGTTGACTTTCGTTCGTAGTGGATGTAAGGCTGCCTGGGAACATCAGGCATTATCGTCTTGGGCTGCAAGGTGCCCAGAAGATGACAGTGCACCAGTGGTTGCCTGATTTCTTCCCACAAACCAAACACTTGTTCAGGAGAGGCAGACCTCTCTTGAACAGGAGTTCTGAGGCTTCCATAAACAACCGAAATGAATTAATATTATTTGCAATTAAAATTAATGTGACAAGTGCTGATATACCTTTGGCCCAGGTGGACCTGGTTCTCCAGTAAATCCTTTAAAACCCTACACACACACAGAACACAAAGATTCCCTGTTTAACCGGCATAGACTGTTGGGGTAAGCACTGTTAGCAAGCACCTATTGCGGCCGGCACAACGCACGAGAGGGTGGTGTGGCCAGCACCATGGCTACTTGACTTCGTTTCTCCAGTGCTGATGTTTACACACCAATACAATTACAAATTTAAGGCTGAGTTGACCTTGGAGAGGCCCAGAACAGGTTCCAATACTACTTGCCACTGGCGTTATGAATGTCTGACCAAATTTTGTTATCGCCATTCGCCTAAATGCAACATGAGCATGTCAGCGACGTCAATAGAAAGATATAACTTCTTACACGTGATTTGATGCGTAAAAGCAATGATATCAATCAATATTTTTCTACTTTCATGCGGCATATGAAAACAAACTGATACAACGTGTCTTAGGTTTGTTAATGCATTCAGAAGTAACTTTATGCATCGCATCCGTACCTCTTGTGTAAGTGTGTAAAGGGCAGTGGTGGGGTACGTGATGGACAGACCGCACTTCACCACATTCACGACAGACAGGGGCGACTCTTTTCTTTTCCCTTTGTGAACAAAATATCCGCCTGCCGTGCGTAGTTCAAAGGTCAGTAAGAGCAGCCCGGTTGCATTCTACGCAAGCTGAAAGCGGCTAATTCCCACGTCGGAATTACCAATGAATCAATACAGTAAAACCTTGGATTGCGAGCATAATTCGTTCTGGAAACGTGTTTGTAATCCAAAGCACTCGTATATCAAAGCACTCGTATATCAGTTGTGATCACGTGACGCTCGGCCGACAAAGCGTATACACGTACTACTCGTATTGCAAGACCTCGCTCGTTTATCAAATTAATATTTACTTCTAATTTTTGCTCGTCTTGTAAAACACTCCCAGACCAAGTTACTCGCAATCCAAGGTTTTACTGTATATTGTTACGCCCATAAAAATATCAATATCCCTGCCCACAACACTGAATCAAAGTGCATGGGGAAAGTAATACATCTGTGATGAAGTAAGATGCGAGAAAAACAAGCGGGCAGACAGGAGAGTTTTGTAGGGAGGCCAGACAGAACGGGATCATGTTTCACAATTACCATGGGCCCCTCTACTCCATCGAATGCCACCAGACCCGGCTCCCCCTTCATGCCCTGATCAACAAAAACAAAACCAGAAAAAAATATTTTAGCTTCAATACATATATAACGCACCAAAGCAATACAATTTTCAAAGTGAATTTTTTTTTTTAATTAGCAATAATATATTTGGCTTAATTTTTCTCGGACAGCGTGTGAAAGGAAAAATATTGTTACAAAATGTTATCATTATCATTAGCCATGATTAATCCACTGCTGGATGGAGGCCTCCTCAAGACATTGCCATCTCTCATCTCTCACCATCCTGCGGTGTAATAATCGAGCGATTGACTGCAAATGAGCTGATTTTATAGCTAACAAATTACACGTAAAGTCAAAATACTTCTGTTACCCTCAATGCTAATTTGTGCAAACTGATCAGTATTTATATTATTGGTTCTTTCGGTAAAGTCACGTAGAGAAGAAATAATAAAATAATAAAAATACAAATAAAACATAATAAGATAAAATTCTCACGACGTTTCGGCCACAACGCAAGCAGCCGTCCTCGGGTGAAGAACAGAGCTGTCGGAAAGACAGCGTCCTTAGGACATCCTTAGGACGCTGTCTTTCCGACAGCCCTGTTCTTCACCTGAGGACGGCTGCTTGCGTTGTGACCGAAACGTCGTGAGAATTTTATCTTATTATGTTTTATTTTTATTATTTCCCTTCTACGTGACTTTACCGAAAGAACCAAGAATATGAATCACTGCAGTCACGAAAGCTTTAAATCGAAGAATAAAGATCAGTATTTGTCCATTGATATATCGGTAACGTTACAAGCTCCACTTCATTGAAGTCAAACGTCGACATTAGCGACATGTCAACGTCAGATTGCCGGTTTGCGGTCTGGGATCGAGGGCCTAACCTTTTCACCAGATTGTCCATCTCTGCCGTTTCTTCCATCCACCCCAGACAGGCCCTACAACAACAATAACAAGACAACCACAGGAATTGAAAACGAAGCATTCACAAAAATATCTTGGAGTTGTTGAGCGAAATTGTTATCACTCTCAATTGAAAACAAATTTTAAGCACCCCTCTTTGAAAACGCTTTTAAGACTGTTTGCTCAGAGAAACAATTACAACTTTGAACATGCCGCTGATGTCTGCAAGACGTCTTACCGAACACGATCCCTGAAACGTGTAGCTGCCCCTCCGATGCCCCGTGAAGAGCGATTTTATAAAGAATGCCTGCTTGCTGATTTTTTTTGTTAGCTTGTAAAAGTCACATTCTTGAATGAGCCTGTGAACCTTGTTGTGACATTACCCAAAATATCCAGACACCGCCGGTTCTTTCTCCAAGGTGAGTTGATTGCCAGGCCGCATGTGGTGGTGGGGCAAGTTTGACTAGTCCCACCTTTTCTAAAATGTCTGGCAGAACGTGGAGGAGAAGGCCAACTACACTGTTATACAAAAGCTCGCTGCTCAGTCTGCCAGGGAAAGCGATAAGTGGCAGCTATCACAAGAAGGAAATCAAGCATTAGTGTGTGTGAATTAAGATAACGCGAGCGGCATTAAAGACTCACAGGTGGTCCTGGCAGGCCCATAGAACCAGGAAGCCCAGCCTCTCCTGGTTCTCCCTAGACAAGGCCCAACCCCCATAGTCAAATAATTCGGTGAAATCGCACACAAACAGAGACAGGCACAGATAAGGGCAGAGATCCACTGTTTAGCCTTAATATTGAGTGCATTCACATCTATGCTCTAAATACAAAAATCTACTTTGGCAGTTACTTGCAAAAATGGTGGCCGCTTTGTTGAATGAAGTTACACTCCCTGCAGTGCTTTAGCGTGCACTCAAACTAAACAAATACTCCTCGCTTGCCAGCCGCGGATCTCTCCGCGCCACTCGAGTAACAAAACGCAGCCTGGGTTTTTTCTCGTGGTTCGGCACGGAATAAATGAGCCTTTTCACTCCGCGAAAGACACTATTCCGTTCTTCCTTCAGCGGTACAATCCGGAGCAGCAAGCGGCGCCATGCGTTTTAGGCCTCGCTAGCTTCTGCCCTGAGCAGCCTCTTTTTCATTGGAAGCAACCGTCACGTCAATATTTATTTTAAAAATGTAATTGTACATATTTTACCGGACAGACCGGGCCGCGTAATGTCTCACCTTTATGCCGGGTGGTCCTATTAATCCTGGGGAGCCGACTTCTCCAAGCATTCCCTGCAGGTAGAGACAAGCAGCCATTACAATGTTTTATGATGATTATTATGATACATGGGTCTACCAATCCACTGCTGGGTGACGGGCCTCCACATGCTGTGTCGGTTATGGGAGCTGTTTGGCCATGATTCAACAAGCTAGGCAGTGCTGTAAGGCTAGGATGGGGAGCACAGGACTGATTTAGATATCGCATGCCACGGATGTTAACCATGGCTGTGAAACTAACTCAGGTTCTGGTTCACGGGGCAGTGCGCTATCCACTATGCCACCGCTCCGTCCCATTGTAACACTATACTTATCCCTAACAGTAATTATTAGATCACTGAATATGAAAAAAACATGTATAATAAGCTGCAGCTACTTCGGTCAATGGCAGGACCCTCCTGACAAAGAGTCTTGAGACTCCGTGAGGCTTTCCTATGTAAACAACAAGCGTATTGAAAAAAAAATGCTCAGAATCAGCAACGAATATGGTCACTGCATCGCGCGCTTTCAGATACACTTGTGCGGCCACCTGGAATGCTCTTCCTTCCCATATTAGGAAGCCACTGGAGGCTATGCACTTTGAAATATAGCTTGAAAACTAATTTCTTGAGAAATTGAGTTTCGTGTTTAGTTTGTTGTTCTTCCCCCACACCTGCAATTGGTACGGTTGGCTACGTACGGTACGAAAGAAGTTCAACATACGTACAACAGTTGGAGCCAGAATAACATTCACTGTCACTTGGATTGGTCATGTTGACAACGGCATGCATAGATCCACATTCATGTTATCGAGGTCATGAAGCCAGCACTCAGAAACATGTTTGGGAAAGTCACCGAAAGAACCAAGAAGATGAATCCCTGCAGTCACGAAAGCTTTAAATCGAAAAATGTTTGGGAAATTATTACTTTATATATTTCTTACCAACAAATAAGGAGATAATTGAGCAACCGGTTTAGAATTTAGAGGATGTCCTTTTGCCCGCTTCTTTGCGGGCAAAAACGTAATGGTTAAATGAAAAAGAGTTCAGACTCAGACAAAGACGTCAAGGACCATTGAGCGAACAGCTCTTATACAAGGACAGCCACAGCCCAAGGCCCTAAAGTTGTGTTTGATATGTTTACTCACTTGAGAACCGATGACGCTGGGCTCAGGAAAGTACCCAGGTAACCCTGGGAGACCCTTCACACACAGGACGCATGCAGACACACGCGCACGCGCAAACAAATACACGCGCAAAAAACACATACTCACAATCGCACAGACGCGCACGCATATACACAAGCACAAACACACCCAGGGCACACGCGCACACAAATGCACGCGCGTAACCAAGCCGAAACGCATATACGCCCGCGTGCACACGCACATAAACGCGCATGAACGCACACAAGTACGCACAATCATACATGCGCACAGGTACAGACACAACAACTCGTGTACATACGCGCCAACGCACACGTTCAGATAAACGCACACATGCACACACGTGCACAGTCGTTACCATTTGTAAAACTTCAAACTTTTCCATGATTACAAAGGATCATGTATGCTGGGTAAGATACGCTTGTATGTAAGTGCCACTTTAAATATAGAACCTCTCTGTGAAACATGTATATTAAAAGCCGCCCGCTCCATTTCAATGCTTTTGAAAGAAAATAAAAGCACAAGAAATGGAAAAATTAAATTATACTACACTTCCTGGCACGATTATCCAAACTGTACAAATGATGAGAAGCGAAATACACAATTGTTTTGTTGAAATAAAACTCACCCTTTCCCCTTTGTCACCCGCAGGGCCTGTCAACCCCCTCTCTCCTTTGCTGCCCTGAAATTATAAAACAATTATACAATTAATCATAATGATTTACAGCCCTTGGTCAATCCACTGCTGGATAAAGGCCTCCCCATGCCGTGTCAGTCATGGGGGTTGTTTGACCATACTTCACCACGCTGGTCGGTACACATTGGTGAAATGGCAGGAGTCCAGGACCAGATGAAATCATCGCAAGCCACTGATGTTAGCCGTGACCGGAATTTGAACTCGGGTGACCGGGATCATAGCTTGGCGTGAGACCCACTATGCACCAAAAAATGATATTAGACAAATCAATTCTCACTACTATGCTATTTGTATTAAGTGTTGATATTAAAGGTGCTTCAACACGATATGCTGGTGGTGGAGGTGGTGGTGGTTCTAATCTCTTATTGATCGTGGCCACGTGCTCAAAAGCTAAATGCCAATGTCGAGGTTTCCTGGCCACGGGTGGGAGACATAAGCCTTCTCGCGGTGGCCAGAGATGTATTGAATGACAATGATTACAATACTCCTTGGTTCTTTCGGTGAAGTCACGTAGAAAGAAAATAAATTAAATAATTTATTTTCTTAAAGTCACGTAGAAAGGAAATTTATTAAATAATTAGTTTTCTTAAAGTCAAAAGAAAATAAATTAAATCATTTATTTTCTTAAAGCCACGTAGAAAGAAAATAAATTAAATAATTCATATTGTTAAAGTCACGTAGAAAGAAAATAAATTTAATAATTTATTTCTTAAAGTCACGTAGATAGAAAATAAATTAAGTAATTACTTTTCTTAAAGTCACGAAGAAATAAAATAAATTAAGTAATTTATTTTCTTAAAGGCACGTAGAAAGAAAATTATATAAATAAGAAATTTTCTTAAAGTTACGTTGAAAGAAAATAAATTAAATAAATTAGTTTCTTAAAGTCACGTAGAAATAAAATAAATAAAATAATTTATTTTCTTAAAGTCACGTAGAAAGAAAATCAATTAAATAATTTGTTTTAATTTATTTTCTTTCTATGTGACTTTACCGAAAGAACCAAAGAGTAATTCCTGCAGTCACGAAAGCTTCAAATCAAATGACTATAATACCAATAATAATGATGATATTGAAGATATATTTACTAACGGACGATGACGGTGATGAAGACTACAATGTGGATGCTGATTTAGAAGACGAGTGTGATTATATGAAATATAGGAAAAGTTTTCCTCTTTCTGGAAATAAACCAGGTGTTAACATGTTAAAACATCAACTAGATACCTTTTGCAAAGCATCAAGTCTGCATGAACCACACGTACTTGTGTCAAAACATGCAAACAAACGTGCTCTGATATTTAATATATGTATATTCTTGGTTATTTCGGTAAAGTCATGTAGATAGAAAATAAAATTAAAATAATAAAATAAAAATTGAAAATAATAAACGCAAAAAACCCACGACGCTTCGATCGCAACACAAGCGGTCTTCAACAGGCGGAAAAAACTCATTGGCCTAGACTTGATGTCGTGCAAAAGGTACCGAGTTGGTGTTTGAACATCTTAACACCTGTGTTATGGCCAGAAAGGGAAAAACATATTCTTATTTTTCATAATTGTCATACTGGCAAAAAGGTTCCCGTAGACTGCGATTCTGATCACCACCTTGACCCTCACCTTCATGCCATCCACTCCGGGGGCTCCGGCAGAACCTTGAGAACCAGCATCTCCCTAGAGACACAAATGTCCACGAAGACAGGTTACGTTTGGCCGTCGATGTGAACAACGTAACGATCGCATGTAAACGAAGCGTTTGGGCATTAAATGCGTGCGCACGTGTGTGTGCGCGTGTGTGCTGCGGGAGCGATAGTGTAGCGGTTAGCATACTGTGCTATGGACCTGGCGACCAGGGCAGTGGCTGGGTTTGTACGGTGAAGCTCTGCAACGAGCATTGAACGTGATGCCGCTGGGCCGTGTAACAGCGCTCTCACCTCTTGAGCCACCCAGGGGCCTCAGGCAACATTGTCGATGATGTACGCGTATGTACGTGTACGTCATCCGACTAATAATAATAATAAAAGAAAATAACTTTTTTGGTACCGAGGCTCCCACAAGGCCATGCAGGAAAGCGTGTGGTACAGTTTGGCGCCAGCTATTATAGAGTGCGGTTGTGTCGCTACAGTTATCCGTGGTGAGTAAGTCTTTAAAAACAACGGCAATACGCATTCTTAATTTGTGTCGCTACAGTTATCAATACGCATCTCTAAATAAAATTAAAGCTGGACCGCATGCGCGTTCCCAGAATCAGCGGTGAACGGGACCCCCACCCTGCAAACTTGAAAGACGTCTCAGAATGGGAAAGGGTGAATGTGACCGTAGCGAACGCAGCGCTACAGAGTGTGACTGTGAGTGAGCGCTGTGGGGTAAGAGAGAGTCGCCACCTTCTCCCCGTCTCGTCCGTCCTCCCCAGGACTCCCCGTGTAGCCCTTGTCTCCTTTGAGCCCTGGGAGACCTGGGGAGCCCTGGGCTCCTGTCAGGCAACTGCTGCACACGTTCTGCAAGCAGAGAAAACGCGGCACCACTACGTCATCGCATCCAACCGCAGTAGCGGACAAAGAAAGATTAAGGTCAAGAGGTCACCACGGTCAATGCGGTTGATGACACCACACCTTGATATTGCTAAAGGTTTTGTAATAATAACTTCAAGACATCTATGGCAGGGGTGGGGAACCTTTTTTCTGCCAAGGGCCATTTGGATATTTATAACATCATTCGCGGGCCATACAAAAGTATCAACTTTAAAATTAGCCTCTTATATTTGGTCAAACATTTAATCAACTCACCCATAATATGATTGCTGGAACTGCTTCCCTTTGGTGAGGCGTGTGATGTTAGCTGGTATTGATGTTGCTACTCGCAACTGCTTTTCCAGGATTGCTCCTAAATTTATTGAATTTCGAGTCCCGCCTGCGGGTGCCTTGGCAAGGCCAGACCAAATGATTTCGCGGGCCTCATACGGCCCGCAGGCCGGACGTTCCCCACCCCTGATCTATGGACTCGTGCCTGCCTACCTCTCCTCTTTCATCTCACTCTAGTCCCCTGCATGCACTCCTTACTCCCATCTCATTCTACTCCCCTCCACGCACTCTGCGACCCCTCACCTCTCATCTCACTCTTGTCCCCTCCACGCACTCTCCTACCTCTCCACTCTCTTCTCAATCTACTCCCTTCCACGCACTCTCTGCCCTCTCAATCTCACTCTGCTTCCCTCCCCATGCTCTCCTACCTTATATATAAAAGTATTTGCCGGTAGGGCTAGGGGGGACAGGGCTGGTAGGGGGTACACGACAAGGAAAAGGTTGGGAACCGCTACGCTAGAGAACAGCGAGGCTGCTGAGTCGTACCTTGAGCAGGTTTCCCATCTCCCCTTGCGAGATCAAAGGCAGGGGCGCCTGGGAAATGAAAGAGCACACGTTCCGCCGTTAAGGGCCACATCGCTAAGGATTAATCGTCCATAGCCGCACTCCTGTGGCTTGTGTCTTTACTTTTACATTTACGAAGGAGATGCGCGCATGGCCTGTTGGCGTTCTGACGATGCGGCTGATGGTTACGCCACCGATGCCTTCGAGCGGGAACGTCAGAGTCAGTCGGGGTGCGATGTGTGCGTCTCGAATGAGACGTTTATTCCGGAAGTCCACATTGTTCCACTCGTAGTAATTGTTGACGAAAATGAAACAAACACTTTGTTGATGAATATCCCCCCCCCCCTAATTTCGTGAACAGACTTGACACCATTTCGATTTAAAGCTTTCGTGACTGCAGGGATTCACGTAGAAGGGAAGTAATAAAAATAATAAATTTTATTATGTTTTATTTTTATTTTTTTATTACTTCCCTTTTATTTTTATTATTTCATTACTTCCCTTCTACGTGATAATAAAAATAAAACATAATAAAATTTATTATTTTATTTTGTTTTATTTTTATTATTGTATTACTTCCCTTCTACGTGACTTTACCGAAAGAACCAAGAAGACTTGACACCAGACTACGGGACACTTACCGGCTTGCCAGGGGGGCCCTCGATTCCTGGTCGTCCATCCTTCCCAGGGACTCCCTGGGAAGACGTGAGATTACAAGTCACAAATACAAACATATCTCAAGGAAATTGTGTACCAGATATGAGTGTTATGGGCATGATGAGGATGATACAATTGATGCAAGTGATGATGATGGTGTAAAAAATTATGGTGATGATATAATTATAGGAACGATGGTCATGATCACCATGACGTCGTTAAACTGATGACAGTAATCGTGATTATGATGGTGATGATTATGGTGGCGATGGTGATGATAAGTAATTACGGTGTCATCTACTCACATCTTTTCCAGGGATTCCTTGAAGGCCTGGAAATCCAGGAGCTCCTTTTGGACCCTAGGCCAACAAAACAGGTTACTAGTGACCCAAACTACTTAACAATGTACACAAGCTGTCCTTCCCCCGCACTTCTGATTAGCATGGTTGGCTACGTACGGTGCGACAGAAGTTCAACATACACACACAAAGATAAAGATCCCCCATATAGCCTTAACAGACTGTTAACTGATCCATGAATACAAATATCTCCTGTATAACCTTAACAGACTGTTAACTGATACACAAAGACAAAGATCTCCCGTATAACCTTAACAGACTGTTAACTGATACACAAAGACAAAGATCTCCCGTATAGCCATAACAGACTGTTAACTGATCCATAAATACAAAGATCCCCCATACAGCCTTAACAAACTGTTAACTGATACACCAATACAAATATCTCCTGTATAGCCTTAACAGATTGTTACCTGACACACACACGTATATGCAATGTTATACAAAGTAAAGATGACGGCGATGAAGCAGCAACGGTTACCTGAGGCCCTCTCTCGCCAGCGGTCCCCTGAGGTCCCTTGAAACGATCAACAATCGACTGTCATTGAGGCATTTAGCACCGTAACGGGAGAGCAATCAGGGAAGACAAACACCGCTCCCGGCGGCGAGACGGTGGTGGCCCAGAAAATTGTGGGGAACGAACGGGTGGCCAGTTCTATGAAGAAGGGCCATTGTATATAAAAAACACAAATCATTTGAAGGCCACGGTGTTATCGACGAATGTATTGAGTTCTATAGTTGTTTACACACGTGTACATTTCCCATACAAGTATGTGCAGAATGGCATTTGATAATGATTCAAACTTTACCTATACATTCTTATAAGTCATTTTTTCGGTGCCAAAACGTGTGGAATGCAAATTGCGTTTATTTTGAAATAATGCAGAAACAATAAATCCATTAAATGGCGCATTTAACGTGAGCACAAATAACAAAAAATAAAAACCTTCCACCTACAATATTCACCCCGTTTTATGTGCACAAACAGCCAGTCTAAATCCTCATGGTGGAATCGCACAGAAGTCCCCTTTTAACTTTGCGAAAGACTTGTGTTGTTATTTTACTTGTAATTGAGGGAGTGAAAGGGATCGGCTGATGAGTAGGGTTCACCCCCATATCCGTTTATATTCTACGTTGGGGTTTTCTTGCAGTGATATTGGGGTTATCTTAACACATTTTGTACAGCAGATCGTGAATAGTTAATGACCCGGTTTATGTATGTATGTTGAACTTCTTTTGCACTGTACGTAGCCAACCGTGCTAATCAGAGGTGCAGGGGTTTAATCACAGGTAGATAAAAATCTGGATTCGAACCCAGGATCTCAGTATTTCCATCTGAGTGCTCAAAGTGTTCTGACCCCGAGGTCACCCAGTCACCTCATTAGCATATCCCATTAAGTCGTCAAACTAATATGCCGGTGTAAACCTGGGTCAATGGGGTTTTATTTGTGATCGTGCATTGGCTTTGAGTGGGGTCATACCTGAGGACCTGGAACACCTATACCAGGCTGACCTTTCTCCCCTGGGGGACCCGGGTTTCCAAGAAACCCTCGCTCACCCTGGCACAAAGACAAAGATCACGAGTGTAGCTTTAACAGACTGTTGGGGTAAGTGGTGTTAGCGAGTAGCACCTATGAAGGCCGGCATGGCTCACGAGGGGGTGGGTGATCAGCACCACGCCCGGCCGCCTTTGTCTCCCCAGTGGCGTTGTTTACAAACCGCACCAAGTATTCGTTTGAGGCTGAGTCGAGCTATGGGAGGCCTGGGACCGGTTCAGATAATCGTCACTGGTGTTGGCCGTCAGCGGGAATCGAACCCGATTCTCGCCGGATTCGTAGCACAGCGCATTAACCGTTGCCCTACCGTTCCCCAATTGCCCTGACAAACACACACACATGCACACACACGCAAGACAAAGATAATTTATATAGCCGTAGAGACGAGAAAATAACAAGGTGGAGTAGCTAACGACACGTTGAGCCACGTTTGTCTCCCCAGTCCTGGAATAAAACCTAGGTGCCACTATCAAGGTGCAACACACGAATCACTTGACCACCGCTCCCATTTACACACATTCACATGCACGCACTCGTACAAAGACAAAGGCAGTGATCATTCATTTCGCCTTTACCACACAATTGGGGCAAGTGGTGTTAGTGAGCTTCTACGGAGGCTGACACAGTCACATGGTGAGGTGGTGCGGCCATCAAACATGTCCGTCCACCTTTGTATCCCCAGTGCTGACGATCACACGGCTGCTCTCGGTACTCAATGTGCTTACTAATTAGCCGCCGCAACCCATTGCACACATTCACAGACACCGGCGCAAGAGGATGGTGTGGCGAGGAACCAAACCTGTCCACATTTGTCCCCCCAGTGCAGATGTTTACACATTGCACCAGATACTCAACTAAGGATGACTCGGACCTAGGGGAGGCCCAGGACCAGTTCAGTTCAACTCCTCACCACTGTTTATTGGTCACGAACAGGAATCAAACTGTTAGTAGTACAATGCACTAACCATTATGCCACCGCTCACCACATGCAATGAGCACACATACATACTTACTATTACACTAACAAGGACACAAATTAAACATTCATTACAGTCTTGTGTTGCAGTTTTTTAAATAAAAATGTTGATGCCCGTGCACTTCAACAATTGACATGTATTGAGGGCCCTACCTTGGGGCCTTGCGGGCCTGCTGGACCTGCTTGGCCTCTCTCCCCCTAGGAAACAGAGTTTAAAAACATTGAATATAAAAGCGCACAGCCGTCCAATGCAAACTGATCCTCCCGCGAAGTAAATACAGTGACACGCAATACAAGTAACACTTTCATCGCTTTTGAAACAAGTGTTGTAATCATATGTTATCGTAGCAGTTCATCAAGACAGACACATCACTGCTTTAATTAAACTTGTATGTGTTGTTTCCTGAGGTTTGCCTAAATTGATCACACTTATCATATACTTCATAAATGATGAAGTATAAATTAGACTTATTCGCCCTGCAAAGAGTAACTTTTGAACGCTTGTTAGAAAATCCTCCGTAGCGGTGACGGCACTGACCGAAAGGCCTTACCAGTTTGCCAGGGAGACCGAGGCCTAGGGGGCCCTGTAGGCCGGGAGGGCCTGGCAGACCACGAGGTCCAAGAGGGCCCGTGGCTCCCTCGACACCAGGAATGCCCTGAGGGGCGCGCACGCCAACACACGCAATGAGCACACAGACACGCATCAAGGACACAAACCCCAGTGAAGCCTTTTACAGATAGTTGGGGCGAGTGCTGTTGGCGAGTGCCCATAAAGGCTGGCATGGCTCTCGAGTGAGTGGTGTGGCCAGGACCTTGCCTGGCCACCTCTGTTTCCCCAGCTCTAATGTTTACACATCGAAACCAGGCACTCCTTTAAGGATGAATTTACCTGGGAAATGGCTATGAACGGTGTACATATAATCTTCTTGGGTCTTTCGGTAAAGTCACGTAGAAGGGAAATAATACAATAATAAAAATAAAATATGATAAAATACAATTCTCACGACGTTTTGGCCACAACGCAAGCAACCATCCTCAGGTGAAGAACAGGTCTGTCGGAAAGACAGCGTCTGAATGAACACCACCAAGCTTGGCAGCGTATATTTAAGCTGGGTTAGAGGAGGAGGGCGCCTTGACAAAGGAATTTGCAGACTCCTTTGTCAAGGCGCCCTCCTCCTATTTTTTTATTATTTCCCTTCTACGTTACTTTACCGAAAGAACCAAGAAGATGAATCCCTGCAGTCACGAAAGCTTTAAATCGAAGGTGTACATATCACTCGCCACTGATGCTAGCCATGGGTGGAAAATTTAACCCAGGCCATTGGGTTCATAGCACAGTGCACCAACTACTTTGCCACACACACACATATTCACACCAACTCACATGTCAACTCACACACCAACAATAACCGCCACTCGTCAGTCACTCAGTGGCGGCGACATTACCGCAACACTTGTGTCAGGTGAGGTTGCACTTGGAGGTGACGCGTAGTGGCCAAATCAACTGGCAGGAGGTCAAAGGGCAGACCAAGGTGTTATGGGTTGCTTTGTTTGGGTGACTGAAAGTGGCACTCTTAACAATATCTGCTATGTCCCCTTGCTCAATCTATGTCACCAAATGCTCTATTTTAGCCCTCACCACACACACACACCATTGTCAGTGTGGAGTGAAAATAACTGTTAACCACGTACGCTTTCGCGACCAATATCATCCATAATAGAGGTTTTCTGGGTTAGATCGCGTAAATATATAAATGTGTCGTTAAAACCTACTACCACCCGATACAGCCAACTAGTAAGGGTTGTCACGTAAACAGAACGTGGCCAATTCGTCACTAGTACAGCACACCCGGTGTGTTGGAGAGCCAAGCCACAACATTTACAATCTAAGTACGAGCATTGAAACTGCCCAAGTAATTAAAACTCTATTATGCAAAGAACTGTGTTGGTGGTTCACATTTTAGAACCATAAGCCTCAAGAGGAGCAAATATTAAACACAAATATTGTTGTTCTTTTGAAAACGTATTCACGGTTTATATATTCCGACCAACAAATTTACAGGTCAGAAGTGTATAATGTGTGCAATCGTTCACCAATTTTTTGTTTTAGCTATTATACTCCATTTCCACTTTGCCACTCACCCTTTCGCCTTTTGCCCCAGGTTTTGCCTGCATTCCCATTGGCCCGGGCAGACCCTTCACGCAAAGAAACAAAATCAAAACAGATGCATAGCGATATGGACACAGATTAGGCGCGGCTTCCTTTCAGAACAACTTGTTTTTAGATTCCTTGTGAATGATATCAATTTCATTTTGGGTTGCCACCTCTGTGGTACCAAAAGAAGAATATTTCGCCACACCGCCTGCAACTCCGATTAGCGCATTTGGCTACGTACGGTGTGAAAGAAGATTAACATAGTGCAGACATACAGTGGCGAACTACCTTGTGAATGCGTCATCTTGAGTGGTGCATTGTTCTCGTTGTGATTCATATTATTACGCAACTGACAAAAACTCTGACTTGTAATGTCCTGGGAAGACATGCAGATTTTTTTCTGGACAGCTGCCTCGACAAGAGGATGATCATGGGGAAACCAGGACAGGTCGCAACCCAAATTTCATGAACATTTCTCACATTCAGGTAAGAAAAGGCTTGTGGACCCTTGTCAACTTTTTTTTTGTCATTTTAACTTCAAAAAATATCTATACGACGACGATGATGTTAAGGAAAACAAGAACAAACTAAGTTATGGTGCGGTTTAACGTATTCGGGAAACTTACAGGCACACCAGGCAGTCCTGTTGCTCCTTGGGATCCCAGAAGCCCAGGTGGTCCCTGCAAAAGGAAAATCGTCAGCTGATTTGAATTTGAAGCCACGAAACAATGCATCGATTTCATCGACTAAAAGCGATTCTTACACACAGAAACTTAATAGAATTGTACGTATTGTCATCAATTATTGACGGTGTATTCAAATTATAAGCACGCTACATGTTCACTTTAAATTGGGGCTAATAAAAAGAACAAAATGGTACATACGTGACTACATTGTTAATATAATATAATGATACAGCACAAACGAGGAAACAAAAACAATTGGTTCCTAAATCGAATCGTGACCATGACTTGTGACAATTCAACGAAATGCCGATGGCGGAGGTAAAAATTTTGGAACAAGTGGAATCCTGCGCCCATTGCTGTACATACAAACATGTCAAACTCTTCCCAGTGATTACGTAACGATGACATATGGCAGGACAGGAAGTGGGTTCTTGAGCACCCATGTATGGAGAACATTGAGTGATACCCTAACCATAAGAAACACTGGTTTCCCCCCAAATTGAATACCCTCCTGAAATAAAAATCTGTCAATCATCTCAATGCATGACCCTCCTTGAATAAGTATCTTAAGACTCAGTGAAAAATGGACAATATCATTATTATGAATATCATGGGTTATATTTTGTTGCAATTGATAAAAAAATTCTGTCAATTATCTCAATGCATGACCCTCCTGAATAAGTATCTATAGACTCAGTGGAAAAAGGGGCATTATTATTATGAATATCACGGGTTATATTTTTGTTGCAATTGATATATGAAAACACTTTAGAGTGCCGGATAAAGATGCACTTACGTCTCTACCAGTATTCCCAGTGGGACCGATCTCCCCTTTCTCTCCCTGTGTAAGCGCACACACACAGAGGCACACAAAGGGATCCCAACGGGGGGATGAACGTAACTGTGCTCACAAGGATAAGGCATGCGCTTGACCACAATCGCGAGAAGATCCAGAGAAACGTCTCAATTTAAACTCCTTAATTGAAGCAACAGTGATTTTGTCATCACGATCAGAAACATCATTCATGCCACAACTGAAAACAGTCACCTAATCTTTATTCAGCACAATATATGTACTGTATGTATATATTATGGGACATTTTGCCAATGTCAAAATTATGAAAAGAAGGTAAGTCTTTACCCTTTCTGGTAAAAACACAGGTGTTAACTTGTTACAATACCAAATAGACACCTATTGTAAGGCAAACAAGATGCCTATGCAGACATTATGCCTTGCAATTGGTGAATATTTGGTGTTAGAACATATTAACAGGTGTGTTATCGCCAGAAATGGTAAAACCTATAATTATTCATATATAGATTTTTTATTTATTTACTTACGTAAATATATATTTTAAAAATTAAAGGTAGACTACCTTCTGCCCGTCGGGTCCAAGAGGGCCCGGATTTCCTGTTCTTCCTTGCGGACCCTGCAGGGAAAAATAAACAGCAGCGACCTCTTCAACATCCCGAATGCCAGGACCAGGGATCAGCAGCGTGAGTGTGGCGGCGGACGCCTGTGATCCAGAGCTTCGGAGGCAAGGGCAGCGTTGATCTTGCAGATTTGTGAAACTCCTAAACCCTTCTGGCTGAGCTGCGACGTGGTAAGGAAATATCAGCATTGCCTGCGCAAATCACCCTTGTGCATGGGCTTTTCTCCAGCATGCATGTACGTATGTTGAACTTCTTTCGCACCGTACGTAGCCAACCATGCTAATTGGAGGTACGGGGGGAAAGGACAACAAACTAAACACAAAAGGCAGTTCTAAACAAATGAGTTTTCAATCCAGGTACTCTGCTTTCGTCCACGGGCATAATACTCGTTCATAGAATTGCCAAACAACCCAATGTAGGACCCTCCTGAAAGGTGACTTAATTGGGTTTTACTGGATAAGTAATTGGCGTGGCTATAACTGTTGCATCTTTTTTTTTTATCAAAGGAGACAGTATAATGGCACACGTACATTGGAAATTGATCCAATTGTAGTTTCTGTTTTCAGAATATTACACAATCATAGTTTGTGATGCTTCGGCAAGATTTTAAAGAAAGCTGAGCAGTGATGCAATGGTTAGAGCACTACGCTATGAACCTGGCGACCCGCGTTCGAATCCTGTCCTCTATTTGTGTTCAGAATATAGCAACACATAAAAAACCACTGCTATACTGGACTTCCATGCTACAAAATCTATGCTCCTTGCCTTCACAAACCTGTACCGACCAGCGTGGTGGTTTGGTATAACAACGCCCATGCCTCACACGGCGTGGGGGAAGTTCGCCTTCATCTAGCAGCGGATTGACAAGAACATTGTTCATTTTATATTGATTTTTGCTTTCAAAAGCAGTGGTTCTCACCCGAGGGCCCAGGTCTCCCACGTCCCCTTTGCTTCCCTTTTGGCCTGGCTCTCCCTGCACCGAGACGGTCAAGGAACAAAAACGTACAATAAAAAAAAACGCAGCGACGCAGAGTGAGCTGAGCGCGAAGGAAACCGATCGCCACTGGTTTGGTGACCACATGAATGCGGCTGACGGGGTTAACGCTTCTTTTTGGGAACTTTTCACAGGAGCACGGAGAGGTGCAATGCATTAAACGACACCGAGAGACAGACAGATGAACACGTGACATCGTCGTGTTGACTGTCGAGGAGAGGGAGCGGGCTTGGGCAGGGGATGTCGCTGGAGGGATGGTGGTTGTTTGTCGAGACTGATGACGGAGTGGCGGCCAAATGAGAGAGAGAGACATGCCCGCAAGGACCTGACAGGATGTCCGTCATGGAGGTGGAGCGATCAAAGGTGGAGTGATGAAAATCAGCCCCATGCGCCAGGTGCTAGATGGATTGTTGAATTGTAGCACAGCGAGAGATGGTGATTGCTTGAAGGCCTGCATTCAGTCGTGGATAGATCATGGCTGATGATGATGGCGATGACGATAATGGCTGATGCTCACAAGGACTGTTTTCCAATATTGAGCTTGAAGTTGAAATAACATTTTCCGGCAACAAAAAAAACGACCGGGGGTTGAGAACCGCGACTGTCGATTAAATTCATCACCTGAGGTCCCGGCTCCGTCGTTATCACACCCGTCGCTTGAGAACCCTGCACCAAAAAAAGGTAAAAGTAATAGAGATTAATTACAGGGGTATTTAATCAGTGCTACTCGAAAGCATTTGTAGCATGAAACCTATAGCACTAGAAGTTTCCGACAGAGGGGCATTGGAATGGTTGACATGAGATGTGAGGTACTTTGAGGTGCCGAGGCTTTTAAGCACCCGATACTCATCCTTGTAACACACACCACATACTCACACACCACATATATCACACACATCATACCCCACCACACACACCGCCCCATCGTCCCCCCAATAGTAGACTAATGTCCACTGGCAGGCCGGCGGTGCATTCACCTCGTTGCCGCACAGGGACAGCTGCCACTGGGAGTGCCCTTGGCTAGACGACTACAGCAGGACAATTGAATGGTTTAGATTATGAGATGTGATTCCAGTCGCTTATAAAGCGAAGGCATTCATTGCCCCGTAAATGCAAAGGGGGCAGACTTTGTTCTGTATATATGTAAGTATGTTGAACTTCTCTCGTTCTCACCGGAGGTTCTATGGGAGACGGAAATTTTAGCAGCCAGCTCTCTACAAGTGTGGAATTCCCTCCCTGGATCCATTGGGGAATCCGAGTCCGTTACACTTTTCAAATCGCGTCTTAAATATTTCTCCACGACTTAAGCTTTACGTAAAGCGCTTTGAGGCCGCTGTGCGAATTGCGCTTCCGAAAACCGAGCTTGTCATGACTATGAGTATTAAATAGTTATCCTTCAACGCTGGAGTGGTGATGATGTCACGTACAGCAGCGGGGAGGCCAGGTGGACCCCGCGGGCCAGTGTCGCCCTGAGAAAAAAAAAACACACGCTCAAAATTAACGACGGATTAAACGAACGCATCAAAAACACGCCAAGCAAATGATTTAGCACCATGGCCATGAACAAACTCAGCCGTACAAGTGATCTGCATTCTGTAAAAAAAAGTAGTTTGTTCATCCGTGTGTCGCTTGGTTAGTCACAGTGCTAACTTGAGACATTTTCGTACAATGTCGGCTAAGGATGGTTACGACGCATTCATACTTACGCGATCTAACCCAAAAACCTTTATTATGAATTATTCGTCATTCTCCTCCTCACACGTATTATTTACATTTTTATGAGATATCATTACCATCTTGGTTGATTTTTGCACGATTGTGTGTACAGTATTTGTGCTTAATATGAAAACACTTTTATTCTATGCAAAATAGGTTGTACCCTTTCTGGCAATAAAACATGTCAAAACACCAAATAGATACCTTTTGCAATGAATCTTGTACTTTAACTATTCTGTAAAAAATATATTTGACTCTGTAAAAATTTTTATAGTTTATTTTAACTTTTATTCTGTCAAAAAAATGATGTTTTATATGTACTTTTTTACTGTCATTCTGTAAAAAAAAGAAAATGCACTTTATTTTTTATATTGCACCCTGGTGACAAACGTTGGTCCATCGGTTTCCAACCACACGCCGCAACGTTGTTCCGACGTGCCATGTTTACCGCGAGGTCACGAATAAACTCCGTGTCAGTCAATGGATTTCCACGTAGAGGTACGAGGACGTTCATAGTCTTTAATATCTAAAGCCAGAATGGCAATGACCTGGCCAAACCCCCCGCTCCTCTCTCAAAGATGAGTCAGGTGTGCCTGGTACCGTCGATGCAATTGGCAATGCCGTCCGGAATGTCAGGATGTTGCAATGTGTTGACGTGAGGGAGGATGTGGAATAAAAAAAATATTTTATAATTTTAAAAAATTACAAGACGTTAACTCGGCATGTTCAAAAGAAAACGGATTTCAGTAATCCGAGTTTACCTTTCGCCAATCATACAAAACGGAATTATTTATGTTTTACAGCCATGATAGCCGTCGTGTGCTGCCTGACTTATGCGTTGAGATTTATAAAGAGCGGTAGCGCGCCAATCATAGCTTGCTGTGATTGAATAAAATCCATCACGTGCAGCTAATTTTAACTCAATACTCATTCACCGCGGCAAAAATAACCGTTTTGTAAAATTATGACGGCTGAATATATATATCATCCTCTTCATCAGTAGGATATGTTCTTCTTTGGAAAGACATCACATTTTGGGGGCGCTATGAACGCGGTGACCTGAGTTCTATTCCCAGCCATGGCTAACATCAGTGGCGAGTGACATCTGATCTGGCCCCAGATTTCCCACCTCCCCCCTGCACCTTTTAAACAAACCACACTGACCAGCATGGTTCGCAATGCAATGCTGTCAACCCATAGGGTTCACCCGTATTCTTGAACAGGGAAATTGAGTTTTCAGGTCCATACGTCGTACAGCCGTTTCAATACGGGTAACAATTTATTTTGTCTGCTTGTTTGTGTTTCTCCATTGTGATGGGACTTTTGTAGGATGAACGTTGAGATTTATAAGGGCACGGGGTGACCAATGAGGTCTGAATTAGTCTCTAATAAGGGGCCGTCCATAAATGACGTCACGCACCTGGGGGGGGGGGAGGGGGGTCAGACATTTGTGACGATGTGTGACGAGGGGGGGAGGGGGGGTTTGAGAAATGTGACGTCACATAAAAATGCGCAACTTCAAATAAACAATAGAATTGTTATAATAACACAAATTTTTATTAATTTTCATTATTAACTATTGGATTATTAAAATTTACTAAGGTCACCTTTACATTTATTCCATGAAGGACCATTTTGCTTCTCCATGGGTGAATGGAGAAGCATACATTTTGTACATGTTTTGATAGGTGCTCGCTGAACAGCACTTGTTCTGACAGTCTGCTAAAGGTTACGTGAGGGATCTCTGTCTTTGTGTGCACGTGTGTGTGTGTACGAGTATAAAAAGCAGCAGCAAACTCGATACACATACCCTGTCTCCTTTTTCACCTTTGAATCCAGCAGAGCCCGGGTTCCCTGTCTCACCCTGAAGGGGACACGGAGAGAAACCAGGTCAGGGGACACGGGGGAGAGGAACGTGTAGAGTTGTGGACCCCAGGAGCTTGGAGGGGCATTCATTAAACCGTGGCAGATAAATCCACGGTGAATTCGGAAACAACAAATAGAAAACAAATTAATCTCAAAACGGGAGTCAACTTTACAGTTTGCCGTGCCATTCTGAGTGTAACTGCAGCTTGCAGGCTTATTCTGCGAGCTGTGAAAATATTATTGCGAAGAGCCACGTATATCAGCTTAACAACTCATAATCTCACGCAGCCGGTCTGGTTTTAAGAATAACTCGTGTGGCGTGACACTGAAGCCCAGGGCGTGCTGCCCATGCTGTTAATGGCTCATTATCGCACTGCACCTGCAATCCAAAATCCACCGGTTCGCTTTCCTGGCACGGCAGTGGAAACAAACGGGGGCAAGTAAGTCTCTTGATTCACCCCGACTGTCGGCGTGTGGTAGGATAAAGCGTGTGTGCGTCACACACTTCGCAACTCCGATTAGCACGGTTGGCCGCGTGCGGTGCAAAAGAAGTTCCACGTACACACAGACACCCCCCCTAAAGATTTCTGGCCAGCGTGGAAGATATAGGCCAAGTACCCTCTCTACAGGGGGCTCTACAGGGCTCCCTATTGTGGAGGCACTTCAGCCAGCAGTGGTGGAAGCAAGCATGACCACACTGAGCCAAAGAAAGCAGAGTCGATGTCCTCTTGTTTTTTAAAGCACGGCTCAATTACGTATGATGCAGCTTTCGCAACGAGTCTCTCTCTCTAAGTTAATTCTGTGTTTGTGCCCCCCCACCTCCCCAAAAAGGAGTTACCACCTCTGAGTTACGAAGAAATACCCAAGACATTAAATGGGAATAAGAATATCTAACAGATTTAAAGCTTTCGTGACTGCAGGGATTCATCTTCTTGGTTCTTTCGGTAAAGTCACGTAGAAGGGAAATAATAAAATAATAAAACATAACAAAATAATTATTATATTATTTTATTATGTTATATTATTTTATAATGTTTTATTTTATTATTTTATTATTTCCATTCTACGTGACTTTACCGAAAGAACCAAGAAGAGAAATATCTAACAGGTACAGAAGAGGGGAGAACTACATGTAAATTCATTGTCTTGACTGGTATATCATCATTATTCAGCAAATAACAAAAACTGAGACTTTTCACTACCTCAAAAGGAGGAAGGTCCCGGGAAAACCAGGGCAGGTGGCAACCTCACCCCAAGCCCACAGGTGAGAGGACCAAAATCAAAGGTCCAGGAGCAAACCCTCAACTCGTACCTCCTCTCCTTTGTCCCCCTTTGCCCCCACGGGACCCAGTGGACCACCATCGCCAGGGTCTCCCTGCAGGCGACATGTCACAAGGGCATTAGAATGAAGACGCACAGCAACACAAAGACACAGGGTTCCCCCCCTTATAGCCTCAGCATGATGCTGGGGCAAGTGCTGTTAGTAGCGAAGACCATTTCGATTTAAAGCTTTCGTGACTGCAGGGATTCATATTCTTGGTTCTTTCGGTAAAGTCACGTAGAATGGAAATAATAAAACAATAAAAATAAAACATAATAAAATAATTATCACGACGTTTCGGCCACAAAGCAAGCAGCCGTCCTCAGGTGAAGAACAGGTGTGTCATTCAGACGCTGTCTTTCTGACAGACCTGTTCTTCACCTGAGGACGGCTGCTTGCGTTGTGGCCGAAACGTCGTGAGAATAATTTTATTATGTTTTATTTTTATTGTTTTATTATTTCCATTATACGTGACTTTACCGAAAGAACCAAGAAGATAGCGAAGACCAATTCAGATTTGTTACGATATACGAGGAAGTGGTGCGGCTAATGCCATGTCTGCCGATTTTGTGTCTCCAATGCTGATTTTATACTTGGCCGAGCCAAAATTATGAAAGCCCAGACTCAGTTCAAATATCACTCGACCTACATACCCATGTACATTAGACAAAGTCAAAGATCCCCCTATATCCATTAACAGACTGTTGGGACAAGTGCTGTTAGCGAGCACCTATGAAGGCCACCATAGCACACGAGGGGGTGGTGTGACCAGCACTACGCCGGACTGCATTTGTCTCCTTAGTGGTGATGTTTACACATCGTATCAGGTACTCATTTGAGGCTGAGTCGACCTAGGCGAGGCCCAGAACTGGTTCAGATAATCGTCTCTGGTGTTGACCGTGGGGCGGGAATCGAACTCGGGTCGCTGGGTTCGTATCGTAGCATGCTAATCCGCTACACTACCGATGTATGTAGGAAAATGCACACGTAAATAGCAGACTATGAAATGCAATGCAATAAGCTTATCCATAGAATCAGCATGAAGAATTACGTAGAAGCTTCACACATTTTAAACTAGAAACACTGAAATAATGTAATTTTAATAATAATTTCTAAGAATGCCATTTTTTATAATTAATTCAAGAAATCTTTACATTGTTAGCAACCAACAAAAATATTTTATTTTTTATTTTGCCAGGTAAGGCCCATTGAGCTATATTGTTCTTTTTCAGAAGCGACCTGGCTCAAAATAATAGCTCAACGAAGTGGCTTATCATGTGGAAATTTACAGCAGCCAAATACTCTAAACGCATGTTTCCAAATGTAGAGAGAAAAGCCGGAGGACCCAGAGAAAAATCCACGCGACCACGGGGGAGAGAGACACGCTAACCCCAAGTACACAGCAGCAGGCGTCAGGGTCGGGATCGAACCCACGACCCCCAGTATACCAGGCGAGGTAGTTAACATCTCGCCACTGTGGCACCATAACCACGTGTGAAGCTTACACACACAGGTGTCGCGTAGGCGGGACCAACTGTTGAAGAGTGCCGTGGTGCGAACTTTTATAAAGAGTCTGACCTTTTGTCCGGTAGGGCCTTGTCTGCCAATCTCCCCAGGATCACCCTGATGATGAAAATACGATAAGCACGTGCATACAGGATTCCTGCCGTGATGATGCAACGGTTAGCGGCGACATCTGGACTTGCAATCCAGATGTGTCAGCTCCACGTGGTCCCCCGGCCCGGCAGTTGAACAACAATGGTGCAAATGATAATTGTTTTTTTACCCTTCTATCTGGCAACAAAACTGACACCTTTTTACAAGGAATCATGTTTGCATAGACCGCAATACCTGCAGTCATAATACAAACAAAAGACATAACTCTGATAATGTGCACTGTTATGTCTTTTGTTTGTATTATGACTGCAGGTATTGCGGTCTATGCAAACATGACTCCTTGTAAAAAGGTGTCAGTTTTGTTGCCAGATAGAAGGGTAAAAAACCTATTATGATATTTTACTGGCAAATGAGGTTCCCATAGTGTAGAACAATGGTGCAAGTTTGTTCAATTCTGCCACCACCACCACCACCACTCCCACCCCCTGGCCACCTGCAGGCACCACAGTTAATCAGTGGGAAGGTGACGTGTGGTGTTGGGTAAAACGTGGGATACTCCCACCTCTTCCCCAGACGTCTGACCAGTGTTTTGTAGGTAGGCCAAATACCTCTTTAAAAGGATGCCAGCGTGGAAGAGTAGTCAAATATTGTACATAGAGAGGCTCCCCGGAGCTCCCTCTTGTTGGAGGCCCTTCCATGAGCAGTGGTGTGAGCAAGGCACTTGCAGGGCTGCACCTTTACCTTGCCCTACATATATTAGCACGGTTGACTACGTACGGTGGTGAAAAAGTTCAACATGCAGTACACATATACTTGCTGCAAGCCACTTTATTGCATTTGTTATTTTAACTGTGTTTCTCCCCAATAGATTCCAGTTGTGCTGTCAGCGGCACGTCATTCGATGAAGATGCAGAGAGTTTTCATTGAGAACTATCACGCCGAACCACGCACCACCCTGAGTCGGAGAAAGGCATCAGAACATGATGTCACAGAACTACTTCCGAGGTGCCTTCGATACCGCCTCTTTATCCACATTTGATGGTGCTCATTTCCGTACGCGATGTTAAACGTGTTCGACGCAGGGCAATTCAAAATAAAAAAAAATCGTCCTCAGAGCAGGAATATGTGTAAAAGTGAGAACATTCATTTAATGCGGTTTATATTAGTAATTGATGACCAGGAAGATACCACCAATTGGCTACAATCGATTGCACAGTTTAAACACGGTTGGCCGGAACACGAATTCGAACCCAGGATCTCAGAGATTCCAGCTCAGCGCTCTGTCAACTACATTAGCTCCCCGGGTCACTCATTAATTGGCTGAAAAGACATTAATATATAAGAGGACTGCAAAGCTTTGGCGATTGTATGCTCCGGCTCACTGCCTGGCTACTGCCTTCCAGCTTGTCTGTAGTTCGTCATCGATTGTGAGATGCAATTTGCATGAATGGCGACGCTGAATAACAACCATTAAAAAAAAAATCACTCAGCCACTTCAATGTGCACAGCTTTTCTCTTTAAAGAAACACTGTCTCAGTTTTGTCGGCATTCACCTTGAGGCCGGGGATGCCAGGATTCCCTTGGGAACCCGGTGATCCAGTGTCTCCCTGTGTCCCAAACAAAACGGACGCGCGTGCACACGCACACACGCACGTACGTACAAACACTCCTCGTATGTGATTTACACTCAAACCATCAACCGCTCACTCGCAGGCTATGGCAACGAAATAAATAAAAGCTCAGCAGAGAAAACCAACAGCTGGCAGAAAAACAAATAAACTGTTGTGATTTCACATTTGAAGAGGAAACAAAAATATCTCCCTTAACACTTTCAAAGAGACGCAAAGGGAATGAGGGGTAATAACAGGGACGGGGGTATGCACGGGGGGAAGCATCAGAACTCTGCTATTACTGTCAGACCACGTTTGAAGAGTGTGATTAGCACCACAAGGATAAGCAGAAACGTTGTAAGTGCAATCAAGCTTGGGGTGTGGGGAGGAAGCCTGTTAATTATCATTAGAGGATTTTTGCAGTGCTTTGTTGAAGTTAGTTACGGATGATGATGATGATGGATAATGGAAAGATTGATAGATGGTCATGATGATGATTACGTATCATGGATGATGGTGATGACGGGGGGTGATGGATGATTTTAATGTATCATAGATGATGATGATGATGAAAGTATGGATGATTATGATAATTATGTATAATGGACAACGATGGCGATCATGATGGATTATGCTGCTGCTGTTGGTGATGACAGATCAATGGATGGATGATGTTGAAAGATTATGATAGCTCATGGATAGTTGATGGCCATTATCGATGATGATGATGGATGGATAACAATGACGATGACTATTATAAGGGGTGATATCGATGACGGATAATCATTATTGCAATGATGACGATGAACACTGGCTTCACAAACAAAACAAACGCTTCCCACCTTTTGTCCAGGGTAGCCTGGCAGCCCATCCTTGCCATCTTTTCCCGGGGAACCCTGACATGGAGAACATTTCAGTACCGATCAGCCACCCTGTGGACTGCCATGGTCCATCAAGATTGAATTAAATTACGATTTTTGATGCCACTTTATGTTTAAAAGAATATCGTGTTTTTTATTTAAAGCTAATAAGTGGGAGCAAGTATGTACATCGATGAACACACACACCAAAAAACTAAGTGCAAGATTAATTTGGCACAAATATGCCAAGTATTTAGTAAAAAAAACACAACTTGAGTAATGTAATTACAGTAATCATGTACAAATATAAACAGTGGCATGTGCTTAATGATGTATTGTTATAGTATTAACATGATGTTTGCTCGATTCATTACATGATAGATTTAAAACACAGTGAAAATATTTAGTGATACTGCTGCTGCGTTGCATAAGCGCAATTAATCATGAATAAATACACTCGGCACATCCATTAATAATAAGCGTGGCCCTACAAGAAAAAGTATAATAGGCAACGTTTCAAGCAATGGCACGTAAGAGCCTACACGTAAAAACGTGCTTTGTATGTGCCATCAAGAACGGCCATTTCCCAAAATGCAACCTAAATGGATGTCACCACTTAAAATAATGAATTAACGAACAAAGTCATTTATAGTGCATTGAAAGTGGGGGGAAAGGTTAGAAAGTTGCTCGAAACTCACAAAAGACTTGTGCTGAGAAAGAGCATTAATATAAAGAAATGGAAATGCTCAAGTGAAGAAAGTGATAATGAATATAAACATTACATTCTGATTTAAAGCTTTCGTGACTGCAGGGATTCATATTCTTGGTTCTTTCGGTAAAGTCACGTAGAAGGGAAACAATAAAATAATAAAAATATAAAACAATAAAATTCTCACGACGTTTCGACTGCAACACAAGCAATCGTCATCAGGTGTGAAAAACACAGCAAGAAAATGTTCTTGCTGTGTTTGTTGTTGTTTTTCACACCTGATGATGATTGCTTGTGTTGCAATCGAAACGTCGTGAGAATTTTATTGTTTTATATTTTTATTATTTTATTGTTTCCCTTCTACGTGACTTTATCGAAAGAACCAAGAATATTATTACATTAATTGCGCAAATAACCTCATAACGTGTTAAAAATAATGCCACGAGCAGCCTAATAGGATCTGCAAACTCTCAACTCTGGAATCCGCGCGGTGTTCCTGTGTCGCGAACGCTGCGTACGCACCGGTGATCCCACAACTCCTCGTCGACCCACATAGCCAAGGTCGCCAGGCAGGCCCTGTGAAACCACAGAAGACAATAATGTCCGTGATGGCTCAGAGATAACGCTGCTCTGGGACCCTAATGAGAAAGAGTCGACGAGTGACTGGTGGAATTCAGAGCACGCAGCTGGCAATGGCAATGAAGGAAGCAGAAATAAAATAATAGAACATTATTTTGTCCGACGTGTGGTTACGGGTTTGTACCGCGCGTTGTTCGGCACGATGTCTGACGTTTCGCTCCACATGCCGGGAGCTGCTTCGTCACGTGCAGCGAAAAAAGTCAAACGACACGCGAAAAAGGTCGGACGGTTGTGTCCAACGACGCATTTCCACTCCGCGCGATCGGAGATTGTTCCTGCCGAAGGGCTTCATCCTGACAACGGTCCCATCGCGTGGAGCGAAACGTCGGAAATCGTGGCCGAACAACGCAACGGTACATCGCGAAGACACGCAAGAGAGCTATACGGCACGACCGCGAAAAAACCCACGCGAGAGTTTAAAAAAAACCATAGGGCAATTACCTGGTCACCCAACTCCATCTTGCGCAAGCATGCACAACGGGTTAGAAAAGGAACGCGAGATAAAAGGCTGCGTTTGAGAGATCGGAGCAGCAGACTCGGCCTCGTTAAGATATTGGTCAGGACAGCTCATTTCCTCTGGGATAGAGTAACGAGCGCCGCCGGTTTAGAAACCTTTAATGTAATAAATGTCCTTTAGAAAAGAGGTCGTTGTCGGTGTACATGATCGGAGGCTTGTAGGATATGAAATTAGGATATAATGGGCAGAACCCTGTGCTCATTTCCTACAGACTCAGCACAATATTCGGTTTCACGCACTCTAAAGAGGGCACGTTTTCCGAAGAATGAAAACGAAAGCCAGACAAATATGCGAACAAGACAATTAACTGTAGGAAAGTATTGGCTTCATCTGATTTTTGATGTGACAAATAAGGGAGAAATGTAATTCTCTTAGGCGATTTAATGACAGTTAATTATCCACCATTAGGTAATTAATATAAATGCATATGACGTGAAGGATACAAAATGTTGTCGTGTCCTATTTTCACGCGTCGAAACAGACCCGTGCAGTAGTTATATTTTTTATCACCCACAATTATTGCAGATGGTTGTCAAATGAATTAAATACCCCAATGCGGAGCAGGTGAGGCTGAAGTCTGCAGTTAATTTGTGGCAAGAGATCAGCGGAGACGGACACACGCAATTAGCCCTGTTAACAGACTACAACACACACCAGCATGGTTCATTTTCAAAAGCATGGCATTGCAGCAAAACTTAGGGATGTTGCCAGGGGCGCAACTTATATAGGGGGGTATGCGGCAGCGCAATGCCACGCAAAGGGGGGCCAGTAGGCCATAAGGGGGGGGGAAATTAACAGATTAATAAATACAACAATTTTAAGGGGAGAAATATAAAAAAAATGTTCCCCCAAAGATTAACCATACATGCCAACAAAACATTGTTACAAATGAAAACATATATAAAAATTTCGATTTAAAGCTTTTGTGACTGCAGGGATTCATCTTCTTGGTTCTTTCGGTAAAGTCACGTAGAATGGAAATAATAAAAAAATAAAAATAAAACATAATAAAATTATTCTCACGACGTTTCGGCCACAACGCAAGCAGCCGTCCTCACGTCGTGAGAATTATTGTATTATGTTTTATTTTTATTATTATATTATTTCCATTCTACGTGACTTTACCGAAAGAACCAAGAAGAACATATATTTAATTTCCTAAAAATACACGCAGCGTGAAATTTCGTCGCGCTACTGCTGGTGTTTGTTACTGAACGCCAGGATTGTTTGCTCACTGACATGCGCATGAAAGCAAGATAACTTAATTGTGAGCATTGCACCTTTCAATATTTGTATTGATGCTGTCACCGCGAGACTGTCTTCCTCTAAACCCAATACACGGTGCAACAAAAATAATATAAAAGTGAGAGCCTACGTATTGGTGTATATGGGTTCAAAATATCCGTAGCCATTTCAGTAAAAGTGAGTCGGCAGAAAGGAGGAGTGGCCCACAGTCGTATCTTGTATACCCACCCCGTCTAAATAGGTCGTTTCACCCCTGGATGTTGCCACGATGGTGTAATGGTCAACACACCGGACAATAGAGGTCGCCGGTTCGATTCAATCGCCCCGGCGTGGCAGCAAAAAAAACACCATGCAAGTTCCATAAATCTCCCCCTCTGTCCACCCGCACTCTACATAGGCACACGCCAGTTATTCTCGATCGGCATGTTGCGCGTGGTGAGACAAAGTGTCGGTACTTTCCCACGTCTTTCGAGACAACTGGCCAGAATTGGACAGTCGGCCAGACACCTTCTGCAAGAGGGCCTTAGACGGCTCCCTCTAGCGGTGGCCCTTCCGCCAAAAGTGGACGTTGGGAATACATTGTCAGGGCTGCACCTTCACCTTGTGCAGTGAAACCATCGCACGATGCTCAGCGGACACACGGCGGACAATGACGGAAGGCCACGCACCTGGCTGCCGATGGCTCCAGGAGGCCCGGGCTGACCAGGAGGTCCGGGCTGACCAGGTGGCCCGCGTTTCCCCTGCGAGCGTTCGGAGGAAGAAACACACGGTGACGGAAATTAATCATCGGTGCAAAGCCTCGGGTTATTGGAACATAGAGGGGGGCAAGGGGTGCAATATCTCCCCTACCCCAACCACCATCCCCCCCCCATTAACCTTTTTTGAGAGGGAGGTGGAAAGCCATGCGGAGTGCCCCCCCCCCCTCCCCATAAATTAAGACAGCGAGCGTGCCGTGGAATGAAAATGGGAGTTGAGAAGCGCTCAATGAAGGCCTCTCCTCACCTTGCATGTGTGGTGGCCTCAACCACACCCTATTGTTGGTCACGGGAGACGTTTGACAGCACTTCACTGTGCTTGTCAATGTGGGTTGATAACGGTGGAGCGGTGGGGGGGGGGGCAGCTGAACCGGCTCAGATACCACTCGCCACCGACATTAGGATTGGCCGGCGGGGGAATCGAACTCGGGTCGCCGGATTGACCGCGCGGTGCGCCAACCGCTGCACCACCGCCGCTCCACGCCCCGAGTTTGAGATTTTCCAGGGCGGGTGGCCCTCCGACGAACAGAAGCTCGTGTGAATGGGAATGAAAAGGAAGTGGCCCCGTTTGAAGATTTCCATCGTGCCGCTAAATGACCACGTTCGACCTCCACAGATGGCACCGATTAAACCGAACAACGGACCACTTCCAAACGCACATTTGAGATCAGTACCACGCACGAACCATGCGTGGGGTTTTTTGTAGTTTTGTTTTACCCTTCCAGTCATGTTCCACCACATGTAGGTCAATTACACCCACGCTGCATGCCAATTTGGCCTCAGGTTTGTGAAAATCACCGCTCAAAAAATGGCCTGCAGACCACCCGGTTGAATGAGGAATGCCCCCCCCCCCCACCCCATTCACCAGTGTAGATAGTCAGGAGCCAATTTAATTAAGATTAACAGTAAACACCATTCTTTATTGTGAATTCATACTTTTTACTGTTGACGTAACGTCTTACTTGTAGCCCCATGTCACTCCAATAAAAGTCTCCCCACGCATTTCAGTCAAGAGAGGGGAGGGGGGGGGGTGTTTAACCATACTTCACCACGCTGGTCAGTGGGATGGTGAAGTGGAGCGGAAGTTCAGGATTGGTTCAGGTGTCACTTGCGGGGTCTCGTGGCCAGGAATCTAAGTCAGGTTGCCAAGATCATAGTGCAGTGCGCTAAGCACTATGCCACCACTCCACCCGTGTGTCTATAATGATATTTATTTTTCTACTGTTGCCTTCGTCAACTACTCTTAAATTCGTAAGTTTTTTTAGTTTTTTTCTCTGTTTAAAGGCACAATTAGAAACGTGGGCTTTGACAAAAGTGGAACAAAGGAGCTGAGAACTGCGGATAGAGGCACGGAGGGACGTTTGCGTCACATTGCACCGAGACACAGAAAGGGGAAAGAGATGATGGATCAGAGAGCAAATGTCAGTCAGAGACAGCATACCGACTTGGGTGTCAGCGATCTTGGGCGAGAACACATCGCTGCTTTTTCCTGGATTTTTCTGTGTGCGCATATTCACTTTAAAGATGTTTTCTTGTTCATGTTTTTGTTTTTTGTTTGTTGCGGTTGCACCCGATTCAAGAGCCGAATGGCTCACGGGGCTATACCTAATAAATGAAACTGAAAAATAAATGAAACTGAAGCTGAACACATTGCGAGAACGGATGGTGGTTGGTGGTTGATGGAAGGAAGATGCCCAAGAACACATCCACCGCGGAGATGGATGAACGACATCAGATCGTGTTGCAGAATCGACTGCTAGATAAAGGCTTCCCTCATGGGTTGTTGTTTGACCATATTTCACCACGTTGATCAGTGAGGGTTGCTGTAAGTAGGTGTTCAGGACAGTGCCAGATCGCAAAAGTAGCTACAGATGTAGCTACGGGCCCAAGGGCCCCGCGCTAAATGCTTTCAAGCTATCAATTCCGGTTCAGTGATTCTGCACTTGCTCTATTACTATAGTACCATACTGCCTTAACCTTTTATGAACGACTGGGTGTTTAAGGTTAGCGATTTTTGACGTATTATCTGGCTGTATGGCAAATAAACAAATATAATAACTTTACTACGCAAGTAAAAATGTATTTGTTTTAATATTTATGTGTGTTTTATTTATTTATTTAGGGCCCCTATATAACATATGCTACGGGCCCCGCACTAGCTTAATCCGGCACTGGTCCGGGACCAGATCAAGATATCGCTCGGATCGATGTTTGTGCGTGAAGAAACGAGCCCTCGTGTTGTCCTGTACAACAGCGCCACCCAGCGAACATTACTTTACCACGTTAAAATAAAACTCAAGTTTGATTCAATCTGCCTGCGGAGCATTCGAGACCGATCCTTCCAGGAGAGAATGGGTTTGAGAAAACAAACGATGGCCCTGCCTTGACCTCTCGCAGTCTGGTGGCCAGTTGAATACAATTCTGCCGTATTGCAGGCAAGGGCTCTCCCCTGGCCAGAGGTCGCAAACGGGTTTTGATTCCTTACCCGTACCCGTACCCGGCCGCACCAGGGTCGCAAATGGGTACCCGTACCCGGGTACGGGTACCCGTTCCCTACCCGTACCCTACGCGAAATGAGTGACAAACGGTTACTCACCAGTGACTCACGGCCTACCCGTACCCGTACCCGGCCGCACCAGGGTCGCAAACGGGTACCCGTACCTGGCCGGGTACGGGTAGCCGGGTATCGGGTAGGGTACGGGTATCGGGTACCCGTTTGCGACCTCTGCCCCTGGCCACCGTGTGATATGGGAATTCAACCGCAGTGCCACACACGTGGTATGATCAAAGCCAGGCCGACGGACATGAACGTCATTTGATTTTGACAAAACGAGAGACGTCCGTCGCGGAGACGGAGTGATGGAATCAGCTCGTGCGCAGCTGCTGGGTGGATTGTTTGAGAATCCTTTGTCCAATCATCATCATCATCATCATCGCGATCTATGGGCAGGTAGCACAGCAGGTGTCCACTGCACATTTGGGGCCGTCCATAAATGACGTCACGCGATTTTGGACTATTTTTGACCCCCCCCCGCCCCCTCGTCACACGGCGTCACAAAAAGTCAGACCCCGCTCCTCAAATATGACGTCACAAAGCTCTGCCCCCCCCCCCCCCAAAACCATATTTCTATTTTTAAAATAAAACATGCTTCAAATCGCTTTAAACTATTGTCATTGTAGTGCGTTATTAATGTGGCGCTGCACTCTGATGTTGTAGGAGTGTTGTTATAACAATTAGTGTTGTTATAACAATTCTATATATTTGATTTAAAGCTTTCGTGACTGCATGAATTCATATTCTTGTTTCTTTCGATAAAGTCACGTAGAAGAGAAACAATAAAAAAAAGATATTTTTTATATTTTTATTATTTTATTGTTTCCCTTCTACGTGACTTTACCAAAAGAACCAGGAATATAATTCTATATTTATTTAAAGTTGCACATTTTGATGTGACGTCACATTTCTCAACCCCCTCCCCCCCCCCCCATCGTCACACATCGTCACAAATGTCTGACCCCCCCCCTCCCCCTAGGTGCGTGACGTCATTTATGGACGGCCCTTTTCTTGTGCCACTATGCTCAAGTAGCCGCCACGTCTTTCTGGCACCGGTCTCTAATGTCGTCGTCCTCTCCTTCCGGTTCCTTCCATTTTCCGAACAACACAATATTACACCATTGGAACCTCATTTTCCAGTAAAAAATATGATAATTGTTTTTTTACCCTTCTATCTGGCAAACAAAACTGACACCTTTTTTACAAGGAGTCATGTTTACATAGACCACAATACCTGCAGTCATAATGCAAACAAAAAACATAACTCTGATAATGTGCACTGTCCTTGAAGTTGATTGGTCCACACCCGAGACAGCTTTCCTTAGAGCCTAGTCTCACATGGGTTGGACCAGATGACGCCAAAAGGCTCTAAGGAAAGCTGTCTCGGGTGTGGACTAATCAACTTCAAGGACAGTGCACATTATCAGAGCTATGTTTTTTGTTTGCATTATGACTGCAGGTATTGTGGTCTATGTAAACATGACTCCTTGTAAAAAAGGTGTCAGTTTTGTTGCCAGATAGAAGGGTAAAAAACCAATTATAACACAATATTAATATTCCTCTTGTTGCCCATCCTACACGTGTGTACAAATAGTTCCAGTTTCCTACCCATCACTGCCTCCATCAGGTCTTATTCGATGTGCAGCCTTTTTATTACCTCTACGTTGGTCACTCTTTGGGTCCAGTTTAGATGCACTGAACGGTACTTCTAGAGCAATACACTTTTGAATGCCAATATCTTCTCTCTGTCAGTCATTTTTCGATGTCAAAATCTCACGGGCATAACAATCTGAACCGATCCTAGGCCTCCCCTAGGCCGACTCAGCCTCAAGAGAGTACCTGGTGCGGTGTGTAAACATCGCCAATGGGGAGACAAAGGCGGCCGGGGGCGTGGTGATGGCCACCCACCCCCCTTGTGTAGGCTTTCATCGATGCTCGTGAACAGCACTTGACACAAAAAAGCGTGTTGAGCCTATACGGGGGATCTTTGTGTGAGTGGGTGAGTTTTTTGTGACCTGCAGTGTGGTAGTGGTGGTTCAAGACCGTGCGGTGGATGAGACGAAATGGTGGAGTGGTAGACCGAGTCCTCAACATCGGTGAGTGGTTGACCAAGTTCTCAACATTGGTGAGTGGTTGACCAAATCCTCAACATCGGTGAGTGGTTGACCAAGTTCTCAACATTGGTGAGTGGTTGACCAAATCCTCAACATCGGTGAGTGGTAGACCGAGTTCTCAACATCGGTGAGTGGTAGACCGAGTTCTCAACATCGGTGAGTGGTAGATTAAGTCCTCAACATCGGTGAATGGTTGACCAAGTCCTCAACATCGGTGAGTGGTTGACCAAATCCTCAACATCGGTGAGTGGTTGACCAAGTCCTCAACATCGGTGAGTGGTTGACCAAGTTCTCAACATCGGTGAGTGGTTGACCAAATCCTCAACATTGGTGAGTGGTAGACCAAGTCCTCAACATCGGTGAGTGGTAGACCGAGCTCTCAACATCGGTGAGTGGTAGACCAAGTCCTCAACATCGGTGAATGGTTGACCAAGTCCTCAACATCGGTGAGTGGTTGACCAAGTCCTCAGTATTGGTGGAGGAATCAATTACAGTCATTCCTCGGTATACGACCACTTCGAAATACGTCGAATTTGGTATACGTCGTGTTTTGACGAGAAAAAAATGTCTTGGGATACGACGCGCTTGTTAGAACTTGTATAGGTCGGGATGAGTTACCACGTACAGAACCCGCGTATACTCCACCCCCAATAAAGCTCTAACAAGCCGTAACAGTATTGTGTGGAATGACCAATGTCACACTTCAAGAACATTCTTAGAAGAAGGCAAACATAAACTTCAATGGACAGGTTTTTAGTAAAACTCAAACCTGGTGAGCCTCAACCAGGTCCAAGTCAAGAAAAAAGACAAGAAAAAGAAAGAGAAAAAACCCACAGAATTTCAGCTTCCTGAAGTTTTAATGGAAGGGGAGTCTCCTTCCAAAAAATAACATCTCCTCCCCTTCCTCACCACCATCCTCGTAGGCTGTCAACTCCTCTCAGCAAGGTAAAGTGACGTTACATTTTATTTTTATTTCAATTTATTTTAATGTATTTATACATTTATTTTAATTTATGTATGCATTTTAGTAATAAGTAGTGTCTACATTATTTTATACAACCCCATTAATGTATAATATGCCATATAAAACATCATTTATTATACTCTGGAACGGATTATTTCCTTTCTCTTTATTTATGGGAAAAAGTCGTTTGGTAGACGTCATTTTCGGTATAAGTCCTCCCTTCTGGAACGAATTAACGACGTATACCGAGGCACCACTGGAGTTAAGTTCACAGCAACAGTAACCACGAAAGTTTGCTATAGATTTAGTTATGCTAAAGTGGCTTATATTATTTCTTGTAAAAATGCCTCATTTGGCAGACTTACACACTGACATAAGTATCCCGTGGAAGTGTCAAATTTGTGAAACGATTCGTCGATAATGTATGTAATGATTACATTTGTCCATGTCCACCATAGAGGGCGCTGTTGTACCACGCGAGGGCAGGGCATCATTTCAGGACCGTAAACACGAATTATTCAATAACAGTGGCTTTAAAAAAATTATAATGGGCGACGTTTCGATTAATGGTCCTTTATCATAGCACAAAACATGAATGTGCAAAGGTCATGACCCTAAATGTCGCCTATGTTATATTTGTTTCCTTTTAAAGCCAGTGTTATTGACGAATGTGTAGGGTTATTTTGTAAAGTGTGCTTGTGCACGGCTACCAACACAGGTTCAATTCATTTCATGAGCCAGTTTCCCTTCGCCAGTTTCCGTGAGCCACTTTCCCTGAGCCGATTGCCCTGTGTCAGTTTCCCTGAGTCAGCCTTCGTGAGCCAGTTTCCCTGCGCCAATTTCCCTGAGTCAGTTTCCCCGAAGCAAGTTTAGCTGAATCTGCCCGCATGTCGTGGAAGCGCTCAGGCAAGTTGATGATGTAGTTGTCAGCACGGGCTGTCGACCAAGGGCCAGAGGATTGGCTGTCACCAGCCGGAGGCATCAATCCTCCTTGCACCCTCGTCTTAAGCGTGCTTCCAAAAGTAGACAGCAGCCACGCTGCTTAAGGAGGCAGTGAAAATGCGGGCCTGCAATGGCTGTAATTCTGAAGTTCGGAGGAATGTAATCCAGGGCGGGGGGGGGGGGGGTCATTGATAGCGGGGTCAATCGGTCATCACACCACTGGCTTAGCTATCGATTGTGCAGGCGGTGTAACTGCACCGGGAGCTGTGGACCGGAGGGGCTCGAGTGGCGGGATGCTGGACTTACCGGAGGTCCCTCCTTCCCCGTAGCTCCCCTCTGGCCCCGACGACCCTGCAAACGTCATAAAATAAATGCGTAGACAAGACGTCTCCTTCACATCGACACGCGTTCTCCGTCTCTCCACGTAAACAAAACAGACGTGTTTCTTACAACAACAAAAATCCATCAGCCGCACGGCCTTCTGGGTGTGCATGATTTCATTGCCGGCGACGGCGAATGTTTGACCTTGTAATATATCGCATCCTAAATTACAAAAGCACTTTGACAATAATGAAGAATAATGTTGCAATTGATGTACCCTGGCAAAGCATCTGCGAGTGTCAAGGGGGCCCACTATTAGGATGTTTTTAATGGAAATACAGCCCTAGCCAATGGCTTGCGATGCGGCGGTGACAATAATCCGGTCGCTTTCACCGGGGACATGCCCTCGCCTCCACCGAAAAACGCCACGTAACGTTGACCCCCAACTCAAAAAACCGTGGCGGCCTCTGGGGAGGTCACAAATAAATAATTTGCCAAAGCGGCGCTCGTGGGCGAAACCTAATTCCGTGGCGGCGATGAGAGGTTCGCTCCGAGGGATCGCGACTACAGGGGGGAAAAAATGTTCTAAGTTTTCCCCGGCGCGCTCGCGTTCCTTCCTCGACGCGCGGGGCTGCCAGGCGGGTGGGATCGCGTTTCCGCGAGCGCGAGGAGTCAGTTGGTGCACGTGCTCCCGTGTGTGCTGTTAGGCTTGGGGGTGGGGGGGGGGGGGCTCGCTCTCCGGCCCCCACCCCCTCCCTCCCACCCCCCTCGGTGTTCCAAGTCCCTCGACCTTAACGCAGCAGGAGGTTGGATGGCGCAAAATGTACGCGCGCACTCCGGCGCGTGTTTTTCTGGTTGTGCTCCACGTGCCGGACATCATGGGGTTTTAACGTCATGCCAGACATCGTGCAACGAAACGAAAGCAAATTCGGTTCCTTTGGTCCCAAGATGAGGCACAGATCGTGGAGCGAAACGTCGGACAGCGTGCGGAACAGCACGCAGTACAACCCGGAGACGCAATGGGATTTTGAAATAAAATCTACGCGCAGAAGTAAATTGTAGGCAGCACTGAAGGGACCCGCAGGTCTTCAGGGTTGGCTGTTGCCTATAATGCCAGGAAACCCAGAGATGTTAGTTCAACAGGACTTGCCCTGCGGATGAGACCTAAAACCGATCCAAGGCTTTGGCTTTTAAAATAAATGTTGCTGGAAAGCTTTGGTCTGCAAGGCCGGTAAGCTGACGGAACTAAATGTTATTCCATTGCATTTTTGGCAGTGAAACGGACCCTTGTCTGTTTACGGGTGGGTTAGAGGCATCATGAAATCCCTGGCATCAGATCGGTGACACGTGATCTGATCAAGGAAGAGGAGTCGGAGAAGGGATGTGGCTTGCTCATTTAAGACGAGCAATACATAAATAAATACAATCATTGACATTTCTATTCGTGCCACATATTTGAACCCGAAATTAAGTTCACATCTACATAACCCCGCACAGCCGTGGTGGATGTTTGAAGGATGCGTGTTCAAAAACATAACTACTGTATTGAGCTCCTTTAAAATTATTTCACGCAAACAAATAGCACGCAAATAAGACAACATCAGAGAGCCACCACTTAGCCATGGCAATTGCTGTTGGCGAGCACCTGACGAGGCTGGCATGGCACGCAGCAATGTGTGTTGTTGCCACATTGCTCAGCGTCTTGACAAATGGTTGTACTGAAATATTGGTTAATTGCCACGCCACTTCGTCTCACACAGGAGGCGGGGGGGGGCACGGGAACTGTACAGATGAGTTTGTGAAAAGGAATGGCTGAGTTTGTGAAATGGAATGGTTGTAACGGAAACTCTGCCCCTCAACCCCCCCACCCCCGTCTCTACCCCCACCCCATCCGATAACCGCAGCGTGTTTGACCCCAGGTCGACGACTAAGGAATGACCAGTGACCCGGTCACACGTGACTGTTGAGCCAGTTTCCTTTTTTAAGTACCAAAGGGGGGCCCGATTTGGCTCACGAGAGGCACCCTGCTGAGGCCTTACATCATGCACACCGCTCGATTGTGCCACTGCGCCTTGCGGCCCTCTGCTGACTATCCCCGCACGGTAGATGCACGGCACCAGGGTGGTGCTTATTGACCAGAACATGTTTCGTAAATTGGGCTGGGTGATTGTTGTCGACTTACGCATCGCCGTGAAATATTAGCCCAATCGAAGGATGTGTGTAATAGTGGGGTCGCTACCGTAGTCACTGTTTTAAATAAGTAGCATCCCAATTCACTGCTGGATGAAGGCCTCCCCATGCCACGTCGTTTATGGGACTTGTTTGACCATACTTCACCACAATGGTTGGTGCGTTTTGGTGAAGATAGGGGGGCGGATTTATCATCATCATCATCATCACGATCCATGGGCAGATAACCCACTGCACATTTAATTTTTTCCACTTTACTCTGTCCTGTGCCAATATTCTTAAGTAGCACACATCTATCTGGCACCAATCTCTTACGTGGTCGTCAAGGACTTCCTCTCTTTCCCGTTGCTTCCAATTTCCCCCCCCCCCCCAAAAAACAACACAATTTAAATATTCCTCTTGTTGTCCAGCCGACATGTGTGTCCAAACGGTGCCAAATTCACTTCTCATCGCTGCCTGCGTCAGGGGGAGTTCAGAACAACGGTGAATGTTCTTCTTCTTGGTTCTTTCGGTAAAGTCACGTAGAAGGAAAATAATAAAATAATAAAAATAAAACATAATAAAATAATTATCACGACGTTTCGGCCACAACGCAAGCAGCCGTCTTCAGGTGGAGAACAGGTCTGTCGAGAAGACAGACTCTGTCTTCAGGTGGAGAACAGGTCTGTCGAGAAGACAGACTCTGTCTTCAGGTGGAGAACAGGTCTGTCGAGAAGACAGACCTGTTCTCCACCTGAAGACGGCTGCTTGCGTTGTGGCCGAAACGTCGTGAGAATTATTTAATAATGTTTTATTTTTATTATTTTATTATTTCCCTTCTACGTGACTTTACCGAAAGAACCAAGAAGATGAATCCCTGCAGTCACGAAAGCTTCAAATCGAAATTTAACGGTGAATGTTCATGTTCTGCCCTCTACCGCTCACGACGCCTACCGCAGCAGCTGCACCCCCCCCACCCCCCTTGCACATGTCTGGGGGGGTGGTGGTGGTTCAGATGTCGCTCACCGCTGACGATATCCGTTGCTGTGAATACAACAACTCAGTTCGACGAGTCCACAGCAGCGCGGTTTGCTAACCGCTGCACCGACCGACCCACCTTCACCCCGGCGATCGTAGCGCAGCGCTCGATAGCGCTGACGTTGTCACGTCACTAATGGAGCTGTCATTTTCGAGGCGCATGGCTCGATTGTGTTCGTCTCTCTTTCTCTCTCGCCCCGTAGTTTATTGGCGGAGTGTCTCGTGGAAAGAAAGAAAGAAGCCCGGCGAAGCGATTGTTTCACGCAAAACATGCAATTTTGTTTTGGATTGGAAAATCAGGTCCGGGGTGGTGGACATTATCTAAGATCGTGGCCGCACTTTACACGCGCGCGAGTGTGCAGTTTAATTGGCCGTCTCTTTTCCCGCTCGAGTAGAAAAATGTAATTGTGATCTGATAATGCTTTCGCTTTGTCGTGTCGAGAGCTGCCGCCCCTTTTCATATGTGTAGCAGCAGCCGCTACGCTTGCTCCCCAGTGTCTCTGTCGAGTGCACAACCCCCGGCTGACTGACAATGGCTTTCACAACCATCCCATCGAAAATGTTCCAAGTGTGAATTATTGCCTAAAAATATATTTAAATCGTACCCACGCGTGCAACGTGGACCGATAATTGCTGTTTGCGTCAACACTGTCACTTACAAGGCCGGCAGCCGCAAGAAGCGAAAGGCTTGCGCGATCATTTTACGGGAAAAATATTTGCATCGAGGTCGTAGGCCGTATACTGACGTCCTGTAAAAAAAAACATTTATGAGATAAAAGGCGCAGCCCTGAAACTGCTTGCTCACACCACTGCTGGCAAAAGGGCCTCAAATAAAAGGGAGCTTTTGAGAGCCCGTCCAGAGCAGGGGTCGGCAATCAAAATATCAAGAAGAGACGCACAACGCACTGTGGGTGAATGCGAGACGGTGGGTCCTTCATGAATCGCGTCGCGAAGAGGCCCGCACGCTTGCCGACCGCTGCTCTCGACCGTATTTGGCCTGCTCTTCCACGCTGACCTTTTCAAAGCGATGGAAATGACCCACACCCTACCCCCACCGCACGCGACCAGCCGGATGACCCTGACTGTGGCGAAGCCGTGAGTATGCTGTTGGGTGGACAGAGGAGGTGGTGGTGGTGGTGTAAATAAGAAAGTTGCACCGTTGTTTCAACTCCCGCGCCCCCGTGAGTGAACAGGAGACCTCTAGATAATCAAGTCCAGTGCGCTAACCGTTCCAACCACGGCAGCATCCCCCCCTCCCTCTCCCAAATCCGATGTTCAGACATAACTTAGCAACAATTTAAGTGCGTGTGGCTTCAGGCTATCCATTAATGCAAGGGGGCATTCAGCTAATCACGCGGCAGGCTTTTTTGTTCCCGTCACTAATGAAACTCATGCTGCGGCAGAGATCCGGCAGAGATGGTTGCATAGACGGTGCACTTCAGCATTCACGACGTGTCAATCCTCGAGGAAAGCGTCACGAGCCTGGCTCTGTTGATAAACCCTGCTGCTTAGGCACGGGATCGCTGCTAATTCTGAAGCCAAACAAACTTTAAACTCAGTTAGCTCTCCGATGTATACATTCGTTATTGTTCGTTACTCAATTAAGGCTGAGTCCACCTACAGGAGGGCCAGGACAAAGTTCAGACACCAGTTGTCACTTTCGGCTCCCTCCGGTGTGCTTTCGGGATTGTGCCGTGCGTCGTTGCTCGGCACGATGCCCGACGTTTCGTTCGAGGCCCTGGTAGCCTTTTTCAGGAGTAATATTCAGTAGGACGCAGGCTCATTCGGCACGTGGGATAGTGACGCAGCACAGCCGCGACAACGTACCCAGTAGTCTAAAGCAAGTTCTTGCCAGCATCACCAGTGGGTGAAAATGACACCGCTAGTGGGTAATAGCTTCTGTGGCGATGTGCAAATGTGTAGGATTTGTTTGAATTCCTAAGGTGACGCAGCGGGAAAAAAATATATGTTCTCGTTCCTGCGAGAAGAGCCGTGTTTATAATCTGTTAGTAACAGCAATAATAAGAATAAGAATATGTGCATTTGCAAAGCGCTTGCCTTGCTTAAATGCCTCAGAAACTCAAAACGCCTCAGTTACAACATCTGAAGGGGCCAAATCCCGAGTGGCAGCTGCCCCTGTGTGGCAGCAGCCACTGGGCGTTAATCTGCCAGTGGGGGGGGGGGGGGGGCATGATTGCCACTGTGTGTAATCCCAAATTGAGTAACGTGACGGTAATGCTTCGGCATTTGGGAAAATCGTGGACCGTGACGACCGCACACAATGGTCCGCATGTTATGAGCAATGTCACGGAAATCTTGAACGCCCGACGAAGCAGACGGCGCGTGTTTACGGTTCATACACTCATGGTAATAACCAGGGCGACCTGCTGGATATGAACCGCAAATCTACACAACAAGCCGTGAACGTTAATGTTGTTATTCCTATTTTTTTTTATCTTACTCTGAAAACCTAGGTTAAGAGACTCTCAATATCACGTAATTATAATAATACCAATATGAAAACCTATTGGTAATCCACTGCTGGATTACAGCCTCCCCACTCTGAATCAGTGGTGAGGGGGTTGTTTGATCATCATAAGAGAATTTTGCTGCGCATGCAAATTTCGCGAATTTGACAAATCATTGTTCGATCACAAAACACTTCACCGCACAGGTCAGCGCTACCCACTGGTTCGGGTATCACTCGCTACCGACCAAAGCCGTGGCCGGGAATCGAACTCAAGTGGCCGGGTTCAACGCGCAGCGCAACGAACCACACACGCGCCACCGTCTCCACCCTCGCCCATTTCGAAAAGAAACAAAAAACAAAACCGAGCACCGATTACAATTTTTTACAACAACAAAAACCACAAAGTATGCGCGCGAGCCAACATCAAAATAAACACATCACGGTTGTTGCGTCTTACCCTCCTCCCCGCGGTCCCAAGGGGTCCGATTTCGCCACGGGGTCCTGGAGGGCCCTAGAAGAGAGAGAGAGAGCGAGGGCACGAACGGAGACAAAGCAAAACAACAATTACGCCCTGCTCGATCTTCTCTCTTTGTCTCTCTCCCTCGCGCGATCGCTCCCGCAGTCCCCGAGCCGCGGAGGTACCTCTCGGAAGACTGGCGCGGCTCGACTCGCAGCTGTGGTGTAAACGTGAACGCGCCGTTTGACTGCGCTCGCTCACGCGGGGCGTGCGGCCACGGCGGGTTCATCACGCCTCACAAGCTCGGCTCGCAAAGCACTCGCGTCCCGGAGCTGCGCGCCCTGAGCCGGAGTGAGGTTTTTGTCGTGAACGTGTAACCCGACCTGCGATATACGAGTTGGCTGTAATGTGGCGTCTGAATGCGGCCACAATCTCCAGATGCTGTGCAGAAGCGGTGGGTGTGTTTCATAAAGAGTTTGTCATAGGTCTCTCTTGTCTAGGTGATTCTGTGGGTGGGTGGCTGTGTGTGAGTCTTTGTACGTACGTTGAACTTCTTTCGCACCGTACGTAGCCAACCGTGCTAATCGGAGGTGTCGAGTATGTGTGTCTCTGTGAATATGTGGGTCTCTGTGTCAGCCTCTGGGTTTCTTTGTAAGTCACTAGGAACAATGTGCTTATACTGTGTCTAAATGTGGCCGCATCGCAAGACACACATTTTCGTCACTTCACGTATTTACGGAGTTTCCCCCATTCCCCTCATCTATTTCATTCACCTCATCTCCACCATCACACTCGCATGCACCGTTGTTAATTATTTGCAAAGCGCCTAGGTTAAGGCGCTACATAAATTCCTTCAAGATAAGATAAACGGTGGGCAAATTTATTTTATAAAGAGATCGAGGCAGTCAGTCATAGGCAGAGGAAAACAGGAAGGTCATGTGCGTGGACATGAGGAGAGCACGGAGTCATAACAAAGGTCGTTCCTTTGTGAATTTGAAACAAATTTCCTCATACGATTAGTCGAGTGATAGAACCGATAATCTGGAGAGTGATCAATTACTTCAATAATGACATCGCCAGGCTTTTATTTATGGGACGGTGACAGGGCCTAACGCTTGCGTATTTTGCCGCTTGTTGCAAGGGTTCAAGGTTCAAATCAAACAGCCGTAATAATCATCATAATTAATAGCGCAATATTACAGGTGTACTGCTTAAAGGTGGATAATAAAGACGCTGTAGTATTGGTCACTGTGTGTCGGAATCGTGGTCCAAATTTGTCCAATTTAAAAAATGGCTGCTAATTTATTTGTTGGCATTATGCGTAGTAATCGTAGGCCGACACCCCTAAACTGCGAAAACTTGGCAAGACCCTTCCTTGAAAAGAGTCCTGAGGCTTGGTGAAGCTTTCCTGGTTAAAAACTATAAACTATTTGAATGTTACTAGGTAAGGCCCACTGAGCTATATGGATATTTTTCACAAATGAAAGCTCAACGAAGTGGCTCATCATGTGGACATTTATAGCGGCCAAAATACCCGAAAAGCATGTTTCTAAATGTGGAGGGAAAAACCAGAGAGCACAGATAAAAATCCACGTAACCACACGAAGAGGCATGCACATTCCAAATATGCAGGCACCAGGAACCGGGATCGAACCCAAAACCTCCTGCATACCAGGTGAGGTAGTTAACATCTCGCCAGCATGGCATAATGATCATAATAGTGAAATAGCTATTCTAAAGACTGTCAGATAATTTTTTGTCACCGTATCGCCAGGAGGTCCTGCCAGCCCAGGTCTTCCGATTGGGCCCTTGGGTCCCTGATGAAAAAAATACGAAAGGAATAATGAATGAACATAATGCATTTCCACGCGAACCAAAAAACATTACTCAATTAGGCAATGAATATCAACATCAGCAACTGCATTAACACGTTAAGCTGTTGTTGGCGCGCTCGCAAAGGTCGAGGGATTACATTACTTTGCCGCGCTTGGCAGCGATAATTGCGCTAATTAGGCTGGCACATGTGCGGTGCTGCGGCACACAATTAGACGAGGTCGCCCCGTCACCCAATTAGGGAGCATTGCAAATCCTCGAGGCGATCTCACCGTACTGCAATCTGCACCTAACCACAACGACCAAAATGTGGGTCTTTTAAAACAAAAATATCCCCTGATTGCAAGTGGAAGGCGATTGTGATTTTAAAAAAATGAATTGTATGGAATAGTTATGAGAGCCGTGAAGTGGCCAGAAGATAGCAGTAAAGTTATGGATTATTGAATCCATCTGTCCGGGTCTGTGAGCGATATCCCAACACGTGTGCTCTAACTTCCTCCCAGATGCCTTATTGATTGGAAGTGATTTGAAGCTTTCGTGACTGCAAGGATTCATACTCTTTGGGTTTTTTTCGGTAAAGTCACGTAGGTAAATCAATGAATAACATAAATTAATGAAAACAACTAAATTAAATCACGACGTTTCGGAGGCAACACAAGCTTCCTTCATCAGGTGTAAAAAAACAATCAATACAATAAAATAAATGATGAAGGAAGCTTGTGTTGCCTCCGAAACGTCGTGATTTAATTGAGTTGTTTTCATTAATTGTATTTTATTGATTGTTTTACCCACGTGACTTCACCGAAAAAACCCAAAGAGTAAGATTGGAAGTGGTCAAACAGCCCAATGTACGAGCCGCCTGGAAAGGAGTGTTTAGGCTCAGTGAGGTTTATTATTATTTAATCAGCATCCTAGTTCAGAGCTTAAGACAGGCGGCTACAAACACTCTTCAAGTCTTCAACCTCGTCACTCACTAAACAGCAAAACAATTGCGTAGACCAAAACAATGTTTCCGAAGCCTTTGTATTTACGTTGCAGAGCCCCGCCTGTTGGCAGCTTGCCGCCCGGTGGCGTATGGTGCCGGATATTGCCCCAGACTCGCGTCCGCAAGACGCTCTCCGAGCTCCAAACGAATAAGCTGAGAAGGTCGCTTCGAGTGCAGCAGGAGCGTCCTTGACTCGGCTGAGATGTGTGGCTCAAGGCAACGGGCCATTAGAGGCCGTGAATCCAGGCCAGATATTTCACTCGTCGGGCGAACGTTTGCGGTTCCAATTTCTTTCCACGGTCAACGCGTGTGAATTTGGTGATCACCGTTTTTATTTCAGTGGCGTTATCGAGTAATTCGCTCTCGCTGACCGTGTGAATAAATCGGTACCACCAAAGTGTTGTTCCCTCAGGTGGTAGCTATTCTCTACTGTGGCCCATGGACTCTGAAGGCAAGAACCTCAAGTGGCAAATAACAAACGCGATGCGATGTTTGTGATCGGTGTGTGCTCATTGGGTGGTTTGCCTAATTGTCGAAAGCCATGTAGCAACGCGGCCCCCTTCTCGTAGACTTTTAATCGTCTGTTGAAGCACGGCGCCTCCGTTAGTAGCCTTGCCCTGGTGAGAACTGCGCGGACGGCAAATGTGCCGATGACTTCATTTTTGTGCCGTATAAAAAGCGTAAAGTGGCAGCCTTTGGGAAGCATTCACGCGGCAGCGGGTAGATCAATGCTGCCGATGATAATGTTTAGATGCATATAATAGTGATTATGATTGTTATTTTGTGATCCTTGGTCAATCCGCTGCTGGATGAAGGCTGCCCCACGCTGTGTCTTGTCATGGGGGCTGATTGGCCATTCTTCACCACACTGGTGAGAATACGGGGCGGAGAAAGTGAAATGCATATCCGTCTCCGTAATCGTTGGCCACCCGTTTTTGTTAAGGTATGAAGTGTCAAATTATTCAAAATACGTGCCAGGTTTAGCAGAAGGCGAGTTAGTGAAACATTTCAACACGGAAGCTTTCGCGACCAATGGTATGCATAATAGAGGTGTTTGGGGTTAGATCGGGTCAATATAAACGCGTTGTTAAACCCTCCACCACCCGACACAGCCAATTAGCAAGGTTCGTGACGTCGTGCGTTTACTCTCCAACACACCGGTGTGCTGTACTAGTGTCCAGGAGTAAAATGGGGACGTGACGTCAGGCGTGCCGTTCAGTGCGATGACGTCACGTCTCCTAGAGTACTTAAGGGAGACCCGTGACGAAAGCGGGGTCACTGTGGGAACGGGTAGAGTACGAAGGGTGAAGAGGGAACCAGGGGTAGAGAGAGGGATCGAATAGTGAGTCTGGGGAGAAGCCGGTGGTAGCCGTAGAGGTGCTTCTCTCTCCGCTCGGTGGAGTCGGCAGAGTCCCCGATCCGACACGAGAGAGAGACCGGAGCTAGCCGGGCAGGGACCAGGACTCAGTGTAGGAACCCTAACCCCTGGGAGTTGTGTACCCTTGTGTGTTAAGTTGTGAAGTCTGTAATAAACCCTTGGCGAAAGCCCATAACTTACCTCCGTCTCCGAGTGCGTCCGTGGGAAATCCTCTACACTAGTAACGAATTGGCACGTTTTGTTTACGTTATAAACTTTGCTAATTGGCTATTGGATGGTGGCGGGGTTAACGACGCATTCCTATTTACGCGATCTAACCCCAAAAGAAACCTCTATTGTCGAGTGAAACATTTGTCGTCTGATCGATGGGAGGGAGGGGTCACACGCGCACACACACAAAACACAACAACCCACTCTTTACAAAACAAAATGAAGGTCAAACAAAACACCACCACCACGCGCAGCTCAAACAATTCTACGGATTCCTGCCGGCCGTGAAATTGGCCACAAGCGAAAAAAAAGGTCAAAGTTCACTTCGAATGGGATGTTTTCAGGGAGGGGGGTGGGTGGGGGTGCGGTGGGGCTAGCTGAAGTTCACGATCGACCGGCGGGGGTTGCGCGTTTGTCGCGGCAGCACTCACGGGATCGCCGTCCGCTCCGGATATCTGGGCCTGCAGCGACAACACGAACGACGAGGGGTCACCGTCGGCCGCTCTCGTGAATCGCGCGAGCGTGACGCCACTGGGCGCGACTCTGTGACGACACACGACTGTGACGACACACGACTCTGTGACGGCATGCGTTGCTGTGACGACACACGACTCTGTGACGACACACAACTCTGTGACGACACACGACTCTGTGACCAACACGTGACTCTGTGACGACACACGAGTCTGTGACGACACACGACTGTGACGACACACGACTGTGTGACGGCATGCGTTGCTATGACGATACACGACTGTGACGACACACGACTCTGTGATGGCATGCGTTGCTATGACGACACACGACTCTGTGACGACACACGACTCTTAATGTGGAGGGATAAACCTGAAGATCCGGAGAAAAATCCACGCGACCACGGGAAGAGAGAACACGCAAACTCCAAATAAACAGATGTCAAGATCGGGATCGAACCCACGACCTCCTGTATACCAGGCGAGGCAATTAACATCTGGTTGCCATCCGTTACAATCCATCGCACCCCTGAACGTGAGCTGATCTCAGCGCTCAGTCTCCACAGTGGTTGTCCTCTCCTTTTGGTCATCACCAGTCTCGCCCGTCGGTCACCATCGCACCTCGCTACGTGGGCCCACGAAGCCCACCCACCAAACCTTTGTCGGCGGTAGAGGCCAACTGAAACTGAATTTCTGGTTTCGGCCGAAAACGAAACCAAACCGAAAGTAAATAAGTATAACCCGTAAAAACAAAGTTTTTCACTTTAAATCCTTTATATGCGTGGCGGCTAGAATCCTCTCGTCCTCTGGCTTGAGATGGCTGCCACCTATGGGTCAGATGATTGCATTGCACCATTAAGCAATTGGTAATTAAATATAATATTTTTGTCCTAAAAAGTGTAAAATTTTGGAAAAGATTTTCACGAACATTAATTGTCACGCACAACGAGTCTGTGTGGAAAATGTCAGCTCGATAGGATCACGGGAAGTGGGTTAAAAAAACGACCGAAAGATTTGCACGGTCCTAAGCAAGCAAGCGAACTTAATATAAAGGATTTAAAAATTAACTTTCGGCCAAAACCGAAACTATGCTGAAAGAGGCCATTTGCTAACTTTCGGCGCCGAAACCGAAACCGAATTTCGATCGGCCTCTAGTCGGCGGATCACGCGACATCTACATTTTGTGTCGGGTTCCCTTATATACACGCGCGCAGACATGTGTGTGTGTGTTAACCTCCTCCTGTCTCTCGATTTAGGTAATTAAATCTAGATTGAAAACGAATTTATTTTTAGTTTGCTGTCCTTCCCACGCATCTTCGATTCGCACGGTTGGCTATGTACTGCGCAAAAAAAATTCAACATACATACCTCCGATTAGGAAGGCTGGCTACGTACTGTGCGAAAGAAGTTCACCATACATACGTACATATGAGCGTGAATCTCTCCATGTTTTTAACGGTATTAAAACAACGACACAACAAAATTGTAACCCAGTAACGGTGACGTTTCGAGTCCCACCGCACGCTCAACCTGAGTTATTGGCAAAAGTTGACGAATGGAAGAGCCCGTGGTGCAAACAAGGAGGGCAAATGCGAGACGGTGATTTTGGAAACAGCTGAGAAATTTCCACGTGTTTCTCAACCCTGCCGCCATCGATCACCAACTGTCAAGACGACACATGGAAGCTGCCTGCCCACACCCCACCCGGCTAACAACACCCCCCTCCCCCAGCCTCCTCCCGCCCCTCATCCCACGACGATGACACGGGGTTGTGTGCTGCAAATTGAGTGACATCGTTGATCTAAATAAATAAATAAACGAAAACAACGAATGAATGAGCGAACTAACGTGTGGCTGCGCGCCCAGGGTTTCCCACACGACATTCCTCCGGTATTCCTGCTGCTGCTGCCGTCTGCCCTGAGCACGGAGGCGTGAAGCGATGTCTGGAGGCCAAGCGCCCCCTGCGACTTGGACATCCCACACGTGCCGAGTCAGCGGCGCACACCACGTGGATGCACAAAAGACAAAGATCCCCCGCATAGCCTGTAGCAGACTGTTGGGGCAAGTGCTGTTAGCGAGCACCTATGAAGGCCGGCACGGCACACGAGGGGGTGGGTGGTCAACGCCACGCCCGGCCGCCTTTGTCTCACTCGTGGCGATGTATACACATCACACCAGGTACTCATTTGAGGCTGAGTCGACCTAGGGAAGGCCCAGGTACCGGTTCAGATAATCGTCACTGTTGTTGGCCGTGAACGGGAATTGAACCCGGGTGGCCAGGTTCGTAGCGCAGAGCGCTAACCGTTACACCACCGCTCCCCACACGTACATACATACAAGCACACACACGCGCGTACGTGCTTACGCTTGCTATAAGTATGCGTATTGGCACGTATGTATGCACATCTGCACGTACGATTAGCACGGTTGGCTACGTACCGTGCGAAAGAAGTTCAACACACATACGTATGAAACTGTTGATCATTTAGATTTTTCAACTGCAGAGGCGAAGGCTGTTAGCGAGCCCCTATTACACATTGTAGGCAAGTGCGATCATCTGCACGCAAATATTGACACACTACTCACTTCTGGCTGAGCTGATCTAGGGGAATCCCAGGCCAGGTTCAGATTACAATCACCATTGCTTGTTTGGCATCGTGGCCAGAAGCTGAACGCTGGCCAATCAGTTTCGTAGCGCAGACGCAACGGAGACAACCATAACCACGCAACCGCGAGACATCCTTAATGTGTTCGACTTAAAAACAACAATTACTGACAATTGCATTGAGTTCTGTTGGGTCACATCTGCACACTGAATCCTCGCTCTTGCCAAACAGCATTTGTGCTGCTCAACATTCAGACAAAGCGACTATCAATTGTGAATCCCATGCACGCACACGAAGATCCACCCGTGAGTCCCACACAGACTGTCGGGGCGAGTACTGTTAGCGAGCACCTATTAAGGGCAGCACGGCGCGCGAGGCCGCGTGCTGTAGTTCGCACCAAGCCCGCCTCTGCCTTTGTGTCATCACTCGTATTTTCGCCCCGTATTGGGCACTCATTTACGACTGAGTTAACCTAGGCGAGAACCAGGGCAGGTAAAGATATTGCTCAGCGTTGATGCAGGCCACGGCTGGGGATTGAACTTGGGTGGAAGTTCACAAACCACTATGCCACCAAACACACACGTGCACAATAACCACCACCAACAACAACAACTGGTATTTGCCACTAAGTGGTGGCAACGTTACCACGGCAGGTGTGGTGCCAGGCTAGGTGCACTTTGAAGGCACATGAACTGGCCAAGGCTCGCTGGCAGGAGGTCAGAGGACGAACCCAGCTCTTCTGGGTTCTTTGGTCAAGGTGACCCAAATATGCACTACCCTCAATTACTAAACATTCATACGTACAAAGTGAGGTTTGCTCGTTACAAAGCAAAAACAAAGATCCCCCGTATGGTCTGTAACAGACTGTTGGGGCAAGTTATATTAGTGAGCACTGATGAAGGCCGGCACGGCGTGGGTGGCCAGCACCACTCCCAGCCGCCTTTGTCTCCCTTAGTGACGATGTTTACACATCGACACTGGGTACTCATTTGAGGCTGAGTCGACCTAGGGTAGGCCCAGGTACCGGTTCAGACAATCGTCACAAGGTTCGTAGCGCAGAGCAGCGCTAACCGCTACGCGACCGCTCCCCACACACACACACACACGTGCACACTCACACGGCAGATGGCAAGGCCACACCATCGCACCAGCATCATCATCGTCGTCATCATCATCATATCTGGCGTAGCATCTGAGAGGCAAACGTCAAAGGGGTCGAGCTTTGAAAAAACAATTTTAACGAGTGCGCGTGCGCCGATTTTTAGTAGAAACGAAAAGCACAAACGCGGGCAAAAACCGCAACCCCGCAAAGATTCGGCAGACGGAGGCTTTCAAAAGCCAGGCACGCGAAGCCGCCGCCACGGTCAGACAAATTGAATGATGAATCCGTTTGAGCGGACTCCATTTGCCTGGCGAATGGCAGATAACTATGTGGTCGTCACATCTCGAGGAGGCGAATGGCGTCAGGCAAAACGGGGTTGAATTTTTTCCCTGTGAAGACCACCGAGGCGCTTAAACTCAGTGCGGCGTCACGGTGACGCAGAGGGGAAGGGAGGGGGTGCTCAGATCGAGCCGTGCAAGCTACTCGCTGAATTGGTGATTTTCTCATATTCTTGGTTCTTTCGGTAAAGTCACGTAGATAGAAAATAAGAAAAAAATACAAAATTATAAAGTAAAAATTTACATGAAAAATAAAAATAACAAATTGAAAATAATTAAAGCAAAAAACCCACGACGTTTCGATCGCAACACAAGCGGTCTTCATCAGGCGGAGAGAAAAGAGGGGGTCAAGCCTCCAAATGCAACTGCTTATGAGGCTTTCCAAAGTGAGTGGGCGATTTTCTCAATCTAGAAAGAAAGAAAACCACACGGAGTTCCTCCCTCTCTCTCTCTGCGCGTCAAGTAGGCGCGCTAAGGATGCATCGATCCTTTCTTCGTCTTCTTTCGCGTGGCATGTTTGGAGATTGCAACACAGTCACAAATTGACGTCGAGATTTGATATCCCATTCGACTTGCTTCACGAGTAGCCGCGTGGATATGGATATGTTTAAGATCGCCGTTGAATGATCCGATTGGACGATCGTTCACGGTATGTCACAAGCTGGACTCCCGTTAGTTTTCCATTCATGGAGGAAGTGTCCCACATCTTCCATGGAGTGTCCGGATCCGAATCAAGGACGACCCAGAATCTTCCTCGGTAGGTCAGATCCGGGTTGGAGGATTGCGGGAGGTGACTGACGATGGATTTCGGCAGCAGGTTGGTGTTCTACCCCCAGGGCTTCCCTCCACCATGCTTCGGTGGTCTTCGTGTCATCGTCATGGAAGATCCTTCATATTGCCCGAAAAGTTTTCTGGATTTTAAGCCTGTGCGGTGGTGGTGGC